CTTGTTCTTGAAATTTGCACACGCTAGGCCCTTGTTCTTGAAATTTTGCACACGCTAGGCCCTTGTTCTTGCTATTTTGCACACGCTAGACCCTTGTTCTTGCAATTTTGCACATGCTAGGCCCTTGTTCTTGAATTTTTGCACACGCTAGGCCCTTGTTCTTGCAATTTTGCACACGCTAGGCCCTTGTTCTTGCTATTTTGCACACGCTAGTCCCTCGTTCTTGCTGTTTTGCACACGCTAGGCCCTTGTTCTTGAATTTTGCATAGGCTGGGCCTTTGTTCTTGCAATTTTGCACATGCTAGGCCCTTGTTCTTGCATTTTTGCAGACGCTAGGCCCTTGTTCTTGAAATTTTGCACACGCTAGGCCCTTGTTCTTGCAATTTTGCACACGCTAGGCCCTTGTTCTTGAAATTTTGCACATGCTAGGCCCTTGTTCTTGCTATTTTGCACACGCTAGGCCCTTGTTCTTGAAATTTTGCACACGCTAGGCCCTTGTTCTTGCAATTTTGCACTCGCTAGGCCCTTGTTCTTGCAATTTTGCACACGCTAGGCCCTTGTTCTTGCAATTTCGCTTACGCTGGGCCCTTGTTCTTGCAAATTTGCACTCGCTAGGCTCTTGTTCTTGCAATTTTGCACGCGCTGGGCCGTTCTTCTTGCAATTTTGCACACGCTAGGCCCTTGTTCTTGCAATTTTGCACTCGCTAGGCCCTTGTTCTTGCAAAATTGCACACGCTAGGCCCTTGTTCTTGCAATTTTGCACACGCTAGGCCCTTGTTCTTGCAATTTTGCACAAGCTAGGGCCCTTGTTCTTGCAGTTTTGCACACGCTAGGCCCTTGTTCTTGCTATTTTGCACTTGCTATGCCCTTGTTCTTGCAATTTTGCAAACGCTAGGCCCTTGTTCTTGCAATTTTGCACACGCTAGGCCCTTGTTCTTGCAATTTTGCTGACGCTAGGCCCTTGTTCTTGCAATTTTGCACACGCTAGGCCCTTGTTCTTGCAATTTTGCACACGCTAGGCCCTTGTTCTTGTAATTTTGCACAAGCTAGGCCCTTGTTCTTGCAATTTTGCACACGCTAGGCCCTTTTTCTTGCAATTTTGCAGACGCTAGGCCCTTGGAGCAATCCATCGACCTGACATGTGATCAGCGGTCGACGAGGGGAGCTCGGCGACAACCGCTGACATAATCCGGTCAACGAAAGGGGTCTGGCGACCAGGGGGTAGCTCGACAGGAGCTGTGGTCGACCAGAGGCACCTGGTGGTCGACCAGAGGTACGCGGTGGTCGACCAGAGCACTTGGTGGTCGACCAAGTCGACCAGGTAACCTGCTCGACGAGTTCTGCGGAGGCACGCGAACGTCGTCGAGGTCGCAATGGCGAAGGCGACTTCGGGATGGTATCCCGAAGTCGATGTGGCTTGTCAGGCGCAGACAACAGCCGACGGATGCACAGCAATGCAAGTCAGGCGAATCGTCTGCACGCACCTGCGAGCGTGCGCACTGCTGTCTTCTACGGGGCAACGCTGGACCGCCGCTCTGCTGCAGCGTTGGCATGCCATCGACCTGCAGTGTTGGCAGGTCGCTCTTCTGCAGTGCTGGCGCGGCTCCTCTACGCAACGCTGGCAGGCGGTCGACCAAGCTGTGCTGGCGGTCGACTAGGCTAGCTGCAGAGTTGCTAGGTGCCTGATGTAGTCATTGTTGTGACTGCTTGTTCAATCATTCCGCAATTTTCGACTTTGCTAGTAAAAACTCTTGCCGATTTCTCCCGTGGATATGCAAGCACTAAGGAACTAAGCAAAGCTACGATCACTCCTAGTAGTTCGTGCCAACCCCTGTAGTCTAGCTCACTACCTTTGTAGACTGAATCTCCGCACCCCACGTGCGCATGGCATGGCAGGTGCTAGTTCTGAACGCTCCATTGGACCGTGAGACAGCGAGCATGGCGGCGTCAGACTTCGTGCTCGCCATCTGCAACTGCCTCAATTGCACCTTTGGAGACGACTCCCGCCACCGCCTCACCCATTTTTCTTTTTCAGATTCACCATCCAAAAAGGTACACCTTGTACCGGTATCCATGCTCTTGCTTGTAACACTGCCAGTGTCCCTGCCTTTGATGCCCGAATCCCATGTGGTGGGTTATGCAGGGTGCAAGTACGAGCACGAGTTGGTGTGAGGAGACCTCATCTCCTTCGACTCTGAGTCCCTCATGTGGGCCTGCAAGGGGAGGCGTGACGGGGCCTGCGAAGGGGCACGACAGGGTCTGCTAGGGGCGTACTTGGCTGGCGCGCTGGCTGGCGCGGCTGAAGGGCGCTTAGGGAGGGCGCCCTGGTCGCCACACAGGCTGCCTCGGGCTAGCGCAGGTGATGCGCCACCAGGGGCCACGATGGTAAAATTGGATATGTAGATTGAAATGTATATCAATGTTATCTTGTGTCCTATTGCTGATCCTAGTTATCTATACATGGCAGCCATGCTACCGTATTCCCCCGGACATACCACCCCCCGAAATAGAGCACCCCCCGGGTGGCTTGTGCGGGGGGGGTGCTATAGCGGGCCTCGTTAGCACCCGGGGGGGGGTGTTATGTACGGGTAATATTGCAGTTTCTGCCTACCGTATTCTCCTGGACATAACACCCTAGGATATTTGTAAAAATACAGGAAAAATAAGGGGGGTGTCTTCTCATAGGAAAAAGCTACATAATACCCGGGTCCTTACATATGGCATATTTTACTGTTAATGAATTTTAAATTAGGCAATGTGGGTGTTTTGTTGGTCGTTTTCACATCACTGTCTGAGGCGCGAATGTGAGTTTCGGCCGCGAACTTCATTACCCCCACGAAAATGCCATGTGGCACATTTCTGGCCACTTGCAGCGGAAGAATCACCAGCACGCGGCAGGGGAAAACAGCGGGAGGGGGGAAATCTCGGCAGATCCTAAGTGAAAGTAACGCGAAATTTCATCAAGGGAGAAATTCTCGCAATATTCTTTCGTATTGCAGCGACTCGTTAACGACTATAATAATGAAATCGTAAGAAAATGAGGGTGTTATAGAAAATCAGCCAAAAAGGGGGGTATAGTGAAAACGAGGTCGCCCATAGCACCCACCCCGCACAAGCTACCCGGGTGTTAAACTTATGTTTATGATATAAACTGTTTGCTGCAGTTACTGTAGTGTTTGTGTTATTTCCTGTAGGTGGTGCACCTCCCTTCTTTCCTATATGTATCTTCTCTCCATATTGAATCCTCCTCTTTGGCCAATTCTCCATCTCGCTACTCTCCTTACCAAACCCTAGTCTCCTAAGTTAAACCTTATCTCAACATGGTATCCAGAGCAGGCCTTTCCTAGGCCTCCTAGTTTTATTTTCTCGCCATGGGCCCACCCCTCGCCCTCGTACCAGCGCGCCCTGTTAGCACGCCGCGAGCTGGCTGCCCCGTCCCGCAACGCTCGCCCCGTCGCGCTCTGCCCGTGGCGAGTGTGCCAGCGAGCCGTGGCGAGCGCGCCAGCGACGGTCGCCAACGGCGTTCGCCAGCGCCAGCGAGGACGCCAGCGCCGACGGCGGGCGCCAGCGCCAGCGCGACGCCAGCGCCCAGCGCCAGCACTTCTGCGCCAGCAAATGGGGGATGAGGGGGTGGCGAGAGGGATCCTGCAGCTTCAACTGCCACCCTCTCTCCCCTCTCTCTCCCTACTTGCTGCCGCAGGGGGAGAGGGGGGGTGGTTGAGGGGGTGATAGGAGAGCATCTGCAGCTCCAGCCCCCTCTCTCTACCTCCTCCTCACCTTCTCTCCCGCAACTGCCTCTCCTCCAGTCCTCCCTCTTCTCCTTTTTTTCCAGCCGCTTCCTCCGTTTGTATGCTCCTCCAATCGTCTCGGCCGTTGTGGGGAGGAGGTTTGTGGGGGAGAGGTTGCAGGGGGGTTTGTCACCGTGAAACCTGCAGCTCCAGTCGCCAGTGTGCCCGTCGCTCCAGTCGCCCGTCGGGTCCGTTGCTCTAGCCGTACGAGCGGAATGCTCTAGGCGTACGAGCCAGTCACCCGAGTGCCCGCGAGCCAGTGCTCCAGTAGCCCGTGAGCTAGCAGCTTCAGCCGTCGACCACCTCCTCCTCTCCTCTCTCTCTTTCCTCATCCTCACTTGCCCTCTCCTTCCGCTGCGCCTTGGTGTACCCCTGCAGGTCCTTGCACTGGTTCCTGCAGCAAACTGTTTAGGGGGTGTGTTAAACTTATGTTTATGATATAAACTGTTTGCTGCAGTTACTGTAGTGTTTGTGTTATTTCCTGTAGGTGGTGCACCTCCCTTCTTTCCTATATGTATCTTCTCTCCATATTGAATCCTCCTCTTTGGCCAATTCTCCATCTCGCTACTCTCCTTACCAAACCCTAGTCTCCTAAGTTAAACCTTATCTCAACACCGGGGGTGCTCTATCATGGGGGGGTGTTTTGTCCGGGAGAATACGGTAAATAGCACAGGGTTTCCCCAATGATTGTCCATCTAAATGTTCAGTGACGTGACCGCGCAGCGAGGCAACCGAGGCTGTTGCGGGGACTCCGCCATTGTCACCTGCATGAATCCTCGTCGAGTGACGAGGGGGTGTGATTTCGTCCAATCAGGGCCTGACAGTGGGCCTTGTTGGAGCTTGCAATGTGGCAGCTAACCCTCGCGCACAACCAGCAATCTACCACCACGGCACAGATGTACATTTAGTTCTAAACGTTTTACACTATAAAAAAAAATGTACATTATGTAAAGACCCGGGTGCAATGTAGCTTTTTCCGATGACAAGACCCCCCCCCCCCCCCCCCCCCCCCCCTTTTTTTTTAGTTATCATAGCACCCTAGGGTGGTATATCCGGGGGAATACGGTACATCGTCGTACAGTAGCTGGCATGGAAGAGCAGATTTAGCAACTGCACTAACATACAGAATTATCCCCTTGTGCCATTCCTCATGGCAAACAACTCTAGTGCACACATCCTGCCCCCACTCAGCCAATTCAGCCGCCCGCTCACTCACTTCCTCTTTCTTTTAGGAGCGACAGCCTTGGGGAACGTGAGGGGCACCCGCAGAACAGCGACAGTCTCCACAACGCCGGCAGCAGCACCTCCCCTTGAACTCTCACACCCCATCTCCCTCAAATGCTTCATCAATATGGGTGCAGCCATCTTAAGGTCAGCTGCAAGTGCAACGAGAGGCAGGCGGAAGGCTGTGGCGTGCAGTGCGAGGGCAGCAATGTAGCTGATGAGCAGCTGCTTCAGGCGCAATGGGAACTTATACCTCTTGCCACCTACGTTGTGCTGGTCCTCCGCTTGCGCACGGAATATCTGAGGCAGGCGGGCAGCCGTCAGGATGGGCATGCCATACTCCTTTGAAATAAGCTCAGGCGAGGGTAGGGAGGATGAGGAGGAGGGGTGGGAGGAGGCCAGAGTGCGCAAGGCAGTGGCGTGCAGGACGGCCTCGGGCATGTGCAGCATGAGCACGAGGAAGTGGATGTGCAGCAGCAGCCGCGCGTAGTGCACCTTTGATTCCCCCGTCTTGGTCTGCGTGGTGGAATAGAGGGACACAGGGAGAACAGTGAGGACCAGGTGCATGGGATGGCACAAGCAATGAATTCAGCAACAAATGAATGCCAGAGGGAGCATGAGCAACCACCACTTGGCATGACGCCAGCCACCACCTCTCATGGCAGCATGTTGCAGATCACAGCATCACGCCATCTCACCAGCAGAAGCCCCAGCCGCTCCTTCACAAACGTGGGCAGCGCATTCAATAGCTGCCGTGCCGCCTGCTTCGTCTTAAAATCCATACCCATCCCTTCTTTGTCCTCCACCTCCTCACCCCCTTCCCCTCCTCCACCTTTACCGAGGCCCTTGGCCTTCTGGTTCTTCCGCATCTCAGCCTGCAGTGCAGCGGCGGCCAGCAGCAATGCGACGTCTGTGCACTCCCACTCCTCGCGCGGTACCAGGTACGCCAGCGGGTATGCCTCCTCCACCTGCGTGGCTGCAGGGTTGTGTGGCGGCAGGTAGCTCGCCGCGCTCTGCTGCGCGTCCAGGTCCTGCTGAGTGAGCGCAAGCGGCGCCGCGGCGGCGGATCGCACAAGGTGGCCCAGGGCGTCGCTGGCCTTGAGCGACTCGCCACTCACCTGCCCTCGCTCCACTGCCGCCACCTGCACCGCGCCGTCAATTCCATAGGACAGATACCGGGGTGCACGGGCAACGCACCACGAGCGCTTTAAGCGACGCACGTGAAACAAGGATCATTGAACAACGAAGCCACACGGATGACCAGAGGGAGAGAAAGAGTAGAGGAATCATCAACGGGCGATTGGCAGCAACGGAAACTCACCCTGCTCTTGCTCTTCTTGCTACCGAACGTGGCGATGAGCAGTCGTCGTTTGCGCATGTCCTCGTGGTACTTGACCAGGCTCGAGCTCCCGCCAGACACGGGCTCCGCCGTCACTACGCTCGCCGTGCGCTCGTCCGCCGCGCCCACGGCGCCTCCCGTGTGGCGCTCCGCGTCATACGCCACCGCCTTCACGCGCGCCTCCATGCGCACAACCTGCCCGCACGGGCGGGAAAGAAACACGCAGCCATGAAATCAAGCTGGGGGCCACATGCGAGGGCGGGGAAGGCTGCAGATGCTGGTTTCAGATAGCGAGTCCTCCCTCGCAACCTCTCCTACGCTCTAGCTAAAGAAACCTCACGCCGCCGCGGGTTAGAGGCGAGTGTCCCTGGCGATAAGTTGGAGGGATTACGGCGAAGTGTGTGAAGCGCGTGATGCAGCCACGATGTGGATGCGTGGATGCGTGACAATGCGAATAAGTGCGCACATGCATCAGCGACACGCGGGGGGATGGTGGGCGAGAGGAGGCACGCGATGCGCGTCGCACTGGTTGCAAAACCCGACGCCACACACACCTTAGGCGTGGCGAGGGGCAGCAGGTGCAGCTCCTTGCTTTTCCGCTTAAACACGCCCAGCACCAGCGACGTGCCCAGCTGCCCCGCCGCAGCCGCGCCGCTCACGCCCCCTTCGCCGTCGTCATGCGTGCGCCCCACTAGCCACGTCGCATCCGTCTCCCCCAGCAGCACCTGCCGCACGCCGCCCGCCCGCGACGCCGCGCCCTGCAGCACCCGCAGCTGCACCTTCTGCCTGCCCCCCGCCGATTCTCCGAGGCTAGAACTCGTCGCAGCATGAAGACTGAGAGCGCCGTCGGTCACTGTAGCGGAAGGGACAATAGCGGATGCCTCCACCGGAGACGCGGAGATAAATGCTGGAATGGCCCCTAGAGGTAAATGCGCGACAAAAGGTGGAAGCTCCACCGGTTGTCCCTGCTCCACTCGAAGAGTAAAGAGCGTGCGCTGCTGGTCTGAATCCATCGAACAGGTAACAGATAACGCGAAATTACGAGTTGCCTAGTTGGAACTTCGGTGGCCCTCAAGGTCGGCCAGAAGCACCTTTCCGGAACCCTGAACCTAAACCCTGCACATACATGTGTGAAGCTGCTGGAGCGCTTCAGACCTCGGAGCACCACTCTATGGTACAGTACGGTTCCTCGTTTTCCAGAGGTGTGCACTTCTCCAAGACTTCCAGGTCTACTAGAATGTCTAAGATCCTTACTAGTTTATTCATTGCCATTGATGTGGGCATCAACAGAACTGTAAACCTACTAAACGAACCATATTTTAATAAAGAATCTAATAAATGAATGTTCTTCTGGATTTTGTTATCTTTCATCTTCTCTAAGTGAATGTACATTTATCTGGTTTTCTTTTTGTCTTGTGATTTCCCTAGTTTGTACATATGGGAACATCTGGTAAAAGTGTATCTGACTGTGGGTGGAGATAAAGCTCGAGGTGTGGCTGGATCAATGCCATGTCACCATTCTCCAAACCAGACTCGTTGCAGCCTACAAGCCAGGCCCACTTTTCACCTCTTCGTGCGTGGCGTTGCGACGAAAGGATGGATGGCTGACGCTCTGCCTTATCCGTGAGGCTCTTGCGAAACAAAGGGGATACACGTGTCATCTTTCATAGACAGAACTTTCCGTGCTTGGGGAGAGTCTTCTGGATCTCATGCTGGTGTGGGTCGTCTGCCCGTTGTGGGGCGTGGGTGAGGTAGGAAACGGAGCAAATGACTCAGCACCACTGCGAAGCAAAACCTGTGTGGTCGCGAGCGCTTTCCACACCTGATTGGTCGAACCCAGCCTTTGACGGGTAGCTTTCCCCCACCCTTCTGTATTCGGCTCCTTCGTGTCTGGATGTATGTTTTCGTTTCCGGGAGGCCTGTTCCTAAAAAATCCTTGATAAATACCCCGTTAAAGGCGTCAAACGCTGAGTCAGAATTCTTCAATCTACCTAGTGGAAGTATATTTTTCTAGAACACAGTGGTCACTCGTGGTTTCTGCTAAAAACTACATGGGGAACTTCAATCTGCGATCCAGCATTTGAACCTGAAAATACTTAATTTTCAGGGGCATCAATTTAGACTCTCTTCATCCAGCGGTTCTCTAGCATGTGCTGTGCTCCCGCTGCCAATCCCCCAGCCAGTCACTTGGCCCCTCCACCTGCTTTCCCACCCAGAGAAACTAGCTCGCCGTGCTGTTGTACTCTGATTTGAACCAAATCCTTCTTTCAAGCACCACTGTTTTGCTACATTGCGCCTCAGCGTTGCTGGTCACGGACCGGTTCAAGGCAGTCCCGTTACCTTTCTGCGCCTAGGTTCACAATACCGAGGACTCGAACCAACAATCAGGGAAACACGATACCCAAGTCTGCCGCGGCAGCTCTGGGTCCCGTGGAGGTGAAGGCTGCGTAAGGTCAGGCGCCATGGAGACCACTGCGAGCTTGGCAGCGCGCCCGCTTCCCTTACTTGGAACGGTTGAGCCCCGTGCAGGTGGCCGACTTAGTAGCCTCAATGCTCTTTCTGCTCGGCGGATTACCATCGCCACTCGCACGAGTCTGCCGGGTAGGCCGTGGCACGGCAGCTGCAGAGTGCGCGCCGAGGTCCCTGCTGACGCCAGCGGCGGGAGCAGCGGTTCTGTTGCGGAGAGTAGCCAGTCGGTGAGGTCCTCCGGCAATGAGCGCTCGGCTTTGGCGGAGCGCAACGAGCGACTGATGCGCATGCAGAAGGAGCTGCTGGATCAGGTAAGGCCCGCCCTGCAAGTCTTGTATGTAAGTTTCACCTACGCATTCGTAGATGTTTGGAATTTCAGTTGCCGTGTCACTCTCTTATGCTCCTTCCTCCTGACACCAGCAATCAATAATTTCTTCTGCTGAACTTCCACTTTTGCGTGTTTCTGAGCAGCTGGAGGAGCGGCGTAAGCTACACGCCGCGTTATTGCAGTCGCTGGACACGCCAGCTGCCACCATCAAGGCGTTCAACGAGTCGGATCGCGGGGGTCTCCCACCCGTGTCTCGCCAAGACCTTCAGCCCGCGTCACCAGCTCGCCTCGCCCGTCCCCCTCCTGCGTCGCCCCCGTCGGCTCCGCCAATGGCTGCGCCTGCACCCGTCGCCTCCACTGCCACAGTTACTTCCCGCGCACCCCCTGCTTCGCCTAAACCCGCACCCGTTGCTGCGCCAACCCCCGCAGCAGTAACCGCCAGCAAAGCGCCGTCGCTCCCAGTCAAGGCGCCCTCCTCATCGACGCCGTTGCGGCCGCCCGCCGCCCGCACGTCCGCCGCTGCTAAGCCCGCGACATCGCCCGTCGCTATTCCTTCCAGAATGCCACCTCCCGTCTCTCCTCCCGCCTCTACCCCCTCCCCTCCCGCTGCCCGGCCTTCGCCTTCTCCTGTCGCTGCCGGCCCCCCTGCTGCTACGAAACCGCGCGCCGTCCCTGCTGCTCCACCATCCTCGCCGGCCACTCGGCCTCCACCTCGATCCCCTGCCCCCACCCCGAATCAACCCGCAGCACCTTCGGCACCTTCCCTTCCACCTTTCGTCAGTGCTGTGGCAGCTGCGCGAGCGGCGCCCAAGGTTGCTGCACCTGCCACCCCACTCGCCGTTCCTAAGCCAAGGCCGTCCGCTCCTCCAGTCGCCCCGCCTCGCGCCGCGCCGCCTCCCCCAAAGCCTGTAGCGCCGCCCGCGCCAGCGGCAGTTGTTCCGTCACCACCGCCGGCAGAGGTGAAGACGGAACCGCTGGCGGGGCCGAATGTGATGAACGTGGTGATGGTGGCGAGCGAGTGCGCGCCCTGGTCCAAGACCGGCGGCCTCGGGGACGTCGTCGGCGCGCTGCCCAAGGCCCTCGCGCGCAGAGGCCACCGCGTCATGGTGAGTGCGGGCGGTGGGGAGAAGAGGGTGGGAAGAAGAGGGTGGGGGGAAGGGGAATACCGAAGAGTTGGGGGTAGGGAGAAGGGGGAACGTAAAAGTGAGATAGGATGTTTCGCAGAAAATTCACAAGAAATCTGCTGGTGACTTTGCGAAGGGTGTGTTGACCGTGCCGTGAATGTTCAGAAGTTAATGGCGACCAAAAGGGTAAATGATCGAGCCTGATCCGCGGTTGTGAAGTCGCAGGACCTCTCACGTGCGGTGCTGTGCGTGTGCGTGCGTGGCAGGTGGTGGTGCCTCGCTACGGCAACTACGAGGGGCTGGAGAGCACAAACGTTCGCAAGAGATTCAACGTCGCAGGCCAGGTGCTCATTGCCCCCCATGCCTTGCTGTGCCCACGCGCATGCGCTTGCCATTCCATGCGCATGCGATGTCATACCGTATGTAAGCATGCGTATGCGCGTCGTTGTGTTGGTCGAAGCGTGTGAGGTATCATAACCTATGCCGGCGGGTACCGCCTGTGCGCGCGGTCACCACGTGCAACAATGCAAGCACCCACCACATGGTCGATTGTGATCGTGTGAGTGTGCCGTCTATGGTCGATTCTTGATGCGAGTGTGTGCGTGTGCGTGCGCTGGCGGCATGGTGTGCGTGTGCGTGGTGGCAGGACATGGAGGTGCTGTACCAGCACAAGTACGTGGACGGCGTGGATTTCGTCTTCATCGACCACAACTGGTTCCACCACCTCAACCAAAACATCTACGGCGGTTCGCGCGAGGTACCGTATTACCACCCGCCCCGCACGTCCCCATTGCTTCTGGTGCTGCACGCATTCCTTGCTGCTCCGGGCGGCACACCACTCGTGTGCGCGTGGCCCTTCCCATTGCTGCTGTGTCTCCTCACTCCCATCCCCTCTGTGTGTGCGGATCTCTTGTGCATGGGGGAGGAGGGTCTTTGTTGATGCGTGCATGCGGATTCGCTTGTTTGCATGTGCATGCGAGCGTGTTTGCGAGTGCATGTTGTGCATGGGCATTATGTGTGCTTGTGCCTGTTGTACGTGTTGTGTGTGTTGTCTGTGCTCGCCCCCGCAATTGCAAACAACAGGAGGTGACCAAGAGAATGATTCTTCTCTGCAAGGCAGCCATTGAGGTACGACCCCTGCACCTCTCCCTTTCGCACCTCCTTCCATTACCACCTCGCTCGCACCATGTTCCTTGTTACCCCACATCAATGTCCCCCTCCACTTCGCTCCTCTAACCTTTCTGCACGCGTGGCTGCAGGCGCCGTGGCACGTGCCATGCGGGGGGGTGTGCTACGGGGACGGCAACCTGGTGTTTGTGGCGAACGACTGGCACACGGCACTGCTGCCGGTGTACCTGCAGGGGTACTACCGCGACCACGGCATGATGGAGTTCACGCGCTCCGTGCTCGTCATCCACAACATGGCCCACCAGGGCCGTGGGCCCGTGGCGGAGTTCCCCTGGCTGGGCCTGCCCGACCACTATGTGGAGCGCTTCCGCCTGTACGACCCGGTGGGCGGTGAGCACATGAACATCTTCATGGCCGGCATCATCAGCGCTCAGCGCCTCGTGGCTGTCAGCCGCGGGTACGCGTGGGAGGTGCAGACGCAGATGGGCGGGTGGGGGTTGGATGGTGTGCTGCGCGAGCATGCAGGCAAGCTGCGGGGCGTGGTGAACGGCATTGACACGGTGGAGTGGGGGCCTGAGAGCGACGTGCACCTCGTGGAGGACGGCGATGGGCGCTACGGGTACACGCACTACAATATCGACACGCTTGAGGAGGGCAAGGCTGCCTGCAAGGCTGCTCTGCAGCGCGAGCTGGGGCTGCCTGTGCGCGCTGACGTGCCGCTGCTGGGGTTCATAGGGCGGCTGGACTACCAGAAGGGCGTGGATATTATCGCTGAGGCCATGCCGTGGCTGACCCAGCAGGACGTGCAGCTCGTCATGCTGGGCACGGGGCGAGAGGACCTGGAGAACGTGCTGCGCGAGATGGAGGGCAAGCACAAGGACAAGGTGCGCGGCTGGGTGGGCTTCTCCGTCAAGATGGCCCACCGCATCACGGCCGGCTGTGACATCCTGCTCATGCCCTCGCGCTTTGAGCCCTGTGGCCTCAACCAGCTCTACGCCATGCGCTATGGCACCGTGCCCGTGGTGCACGCGGTGGGCGGGCTGAGGGACACGGTGACGCCGTTTGACCCGTTCAACGACACAGGGCTGGGGTGGACGTTTGACCACGCGGAGGTGAACGGGCTGATACACGCGCTGGGCAACGCCATCTACACGTACCGCGACTACCGTGACTCGTGGCGCCGCCTGCAGCGCAGAGGCATGGCGCAGGACCTCAGCTGGGACGCTGCTGCCGTGCAGTACGAGGAGATTCTTGTGGAGGCCAAGTACACGTGGTAGCCACACACAGGGCGACAGGGGGGTGTGTGATGCCGCGGGGGTGTGGCTGGTGAGGAAGTGAGATGTTGCTTCGGAGTGGCATGGGATGCACCAAGCTGAATTGATTTGAGGATTGTTGCTCCAGCTGTGGAAAGAGCTTGTGCTCTTTCCTCTTTGTTTTACCGTACATTCATGACCCTGTCATCCCAGTGCTCGTTAAAGTGCATTGCCTGCATGCTGCATCAGCCAGGCTGGTAGTGCTTGTGCGCATGCAGAGAAGCCTTATATGTTGGACTTGCTTTCTTGTTGATGCCCGTTTGTATCATCATACCGTATTGACATTGAAGTATGGTACCAATATAAACTGTAATTTGTTTACTACTCTGTTTAAAAAACCATGTTCTAACCTAAAAGTGATACCGTGTGGCCAAAAAAAGGGTGGGCTATTCAGCAGTCCAGTCATCCCTGGCAGGGTTGGTGTGAGGGTTGTGGTTGAAGAGAAGAGGTGCGGGCACTGCATGGTGCTCCACCACATGCACTGGCACCTCCGGCTTGGCGTCCAGCCTTATGAACCCCTTCCCCGTCTGCTCCACCCCCCCGCCCACACACACAGGAACGGCATGCATACAGGAAAGGCATGCATACAGGAAATGCATGCATATAGTAAGGCACGCACACACTCAGGAAGAGGGGCACACATACGGAGGTACACTCAGGTTGGCACATGCACGCATCGTATGGCGCGCGCGCACACACACACAGTCACACTCACACTCACACACACACACACACACACACACAGTCACACTCACACTCTCACACACACACACACACACACACACACACACAGATGTTTCAACACAAAAATGGTATGGGAGGAAGCAGTGAGGATTTGCCCTGGAGGGCAAAAATTAGGGAGAGGGCAAGGAAAGAACAAAGGTAACAAACAGTGGAACATAGGGTGGAGGAGGGAAGCATGAAGAGAGGGGGAAGGCGAAGAAGCAGTAGGGGCGTACGGGGCAGTGTGGGCCGTCGTATTGCAGGTGTTGGTAGTAGGAGGTGGCAGGGTGGTGCTCTGGGTCGTGCACCTCTGGCGTGCCACTGGGACACACCGGCTGCCATGCCCCATGCGCCACAGGGAGGGACACCGGGGGCACGCACGCACAGGCAGGGGGAAGAGGCGTGGGAGGAGGAATAGAAGGGGATTAAGAAGGGGATTAAGAAGGGGAGAGGAAGGGCGGAGGGTGCAGTGGACGAAGGGATGCAGGCAGGCATAGCGATGTGCATGTTCGAGATACGTGCCGCGTATGCGCACCAATCGGCATGCCCCCATGAATGATTGAACCACTCCCACTGCCACCAGCGCGTCACCTCATTCCCCGCGCCATGCCCCTCATCCCCCCAGCGCACCCACCTCCGCGTGCGCCACGAGGTGCGCGAGCGCGCGCCTCTCGGGCAGGTCTACCGCCACCGCGTCGTCCGCGCCGAACACGCCCTCGCCCTCGCCCGCCTCGCTGCGACTGGGCTTCGGCGCGCGCCGTGGCGCCTGCGACTGGAAGTACTGCTCCACCTGCGCGCGCACGGCCCGCCACCGCATGCCCAAGCGGAAGGGGGGAAGGGGGCGGGGGGGGGGAATGGGCGAGAGCGCGGAGGTGGTAGGACAACGGGGATGCGTTTGTACGGGGGCGCCGTGGCTGGACATGTGCGGCTTGCGAGGACTCATGGTTCGAGCAGCCGCAAGGAAGGAGACGTGACACAAAACCGGCGACCGGATTTATGCGCGCGGACGTGACGGTGGTGAGTGGAGCGCAAGGCGCGCTGCATGCGGTGGCGACACGCCGAGCCGCGCTCACCTTGGCCGTGGCCGCAGCCTGCTGCTCCGGCGGCAGCACCTCGTCGCTGCGCGATGGCTTCATGCCGCTCGCCGGCCACATCGCGAACCCCACTGCGGCCTTGCTCCACCGCGCAGGTGCGGCGGTGATAGTGCACGAAGCCGTGCGTCACGGAGCGGTGGGCAGGAATGCGGTGAGCGCGGAGGGAAATGGCGGGAAGCGTAATCAGCGTGATCTGTTTTGAGCCACTGAAGCCGAAAAAGGTTCCCGAATCTTCTAACCCACTAGAGATCTGACAGTTTCTAAGTACCTGCCTATGCGGTTAATACTTTTACGTGATTTTTTTCAACCAGCCGTACTGTAGCTCATAGCAATATGTCCATTTTTCCGATAGAATGAAGAGTACGAGTTGGTTTTTTTTACATAGCGAGAAGAGAGAGGAGGGCAAGGTGGAACTACCATAGCTAACAGTGCATCATCACACGCGCTTTGAGACGCAGAAGGAGGCACAGGGCTCTTGGGGCAACACTCGCAGCAGGTGTGGGCCGGCAGGGGAGTGGCTGATGGTGTCGGGGTTGATCTGGGGCAGGTGCAGCACGGGGGGGCGTACAAAGCCCGACTTCACCGGCAGGCAGTGCAGCGACAGCAGGTGCTTGGCCCCGCGTCCCAATGGCAGGCGCAGAAAGCCCTTGCGCCGCCCCGCTATCATCCAGTCGTCCCCACTCACCCGCACCTCATACTCCACCTCCTCGCCCTCCCCTTCATCCCACACACCCTGCTGGGGGGTAAAAGCAGGCAGCGGCAGGGAAGGCAGAGAGGCAGCGGAGTTGAGGCAGGTGACACATAGCCCTGAAGCAGCAGCGCAGTGGAGTTCCACGAGCATCACACACAGGACGCTGCCAACTAGCCGGTGAGCAACTAGAGAGAAAGGTCACGGACTTTGGAAGGAGTGTGCGGCGTACCTGGTGCGAGGGCGGCAGGAGGAGGCCGTCTATGAGGCGTTCGATGCGCCACTCCAGCACCAGCACACACCCCACCCGCGGGGCGATGCTCACTGCACTGGCAGGCGTCAGCAGCCCCACGGCCAGCACGCGGTCAGTCACAGGCATCTGCAGCACCACTGCATGCCGGTACACTGGCACCACTCCCCCACTCACCCCCCTCCCCTCCTCCCCCTCCCCCACCGCCTGCACTCCCTGCGCTTCTCCTCTCGGTCCCCCGCCCAAGTCGTCCACGCCACCCCCCAGGCGTGCGGCCTCGCCTCCTCTGGTGCGCGCCCACAGCGGTGTGGCGACGGGCGTGTGGGCACCGTGCAGGCGCTCGCCCTGCACCTCGTAGTGCACGCGCAGCTCACTCACGCCCTCCATCGCCCCCTCCCTCTCGCCCTCCTCCCCCCCTGCCTGCCCCTCAGGCACTTGAAGGCGCGCCGCTGCAGCGAGGGGATGGGGGGCAGGCAGGGAGAAAGACAGGCAGAGAGAGGGTGAGCATGCGGCAGCCAGGTGGTGGCACGGAGTTGTGTGCGGTGTGGCCATGATGCATACATGGGCACACACATGCGAGTAGGGGGAGCAGCGAGCACAGAGAGCAGCCAGTTCCCACCCGCACTGGGGAGGGAGTAGGACAATTGCACGCAACAGGAAGCCAAGAGAGAAGGGGAGATTGATGCGGAAATGGGGGGAGGAAGCAACGGGAAGAGAAGTGAGGGACAATGCAAACAAAAAGAGGGAGAGAGGAGTGAGGAACAATGCAAAACGAAAATAATAGTGGAGTGCAGGGGTATGGGAGGGCAGCGAGTGAGAGGGAGTGAGCACGCACCTTTTCGTGGAGCAGCCTTAGTGGCAGGTGGGGGCGCTTCCCCCGGTGGTCGCAGTGAGAGCGTGAAGAGCAGTGTGCCTGAGAGCAATGGCCCCACGTCCAGCAGTGGAGCGGGGGAGGACGGGCTCAGGGCAGAGGGTGCGGCAGCAGAGGTGGTGAAGGCCGCAGCAGCCGCGGTGGAGAGCAGGGAGAAGCCGGGCTGCAGGCGCAGCGAGGCAGACGCGATGCGCAGCGTGCAGCGCAGGTTGGAGTGCAGTGACATCTGTGGGGGGCGGTGCACGGGGGGCAGGCAGCGCAGTGGGAGAGGGGGTTCAGCGGTGCAAGGGAGGGATCGGCAAGAAACACAGCATTGCACGGAATCTAGTGCTCACTCAAGTGAGATACAAGGAGATGAAGTGAGGGCGAGCATGATGAGGGGTGAGGAGCGACCTGGAGCAGCATTCTGGCGCCATCGGCCCCTCTGCTGACGACCCTGGTGGACACGTGGAAGGGCTCCACGAAATGGAACGTCAGCACCCTGTGCAAGCACATGCACCGCCACACACACGTGCACACATGGGTGAGGGGGGCGCGGAGAGGGTACATGAACGACACACAGGCAGGAAGCAGGTGGATTACGGCAGAGCTGGGTGAGGAAGTGATAAGCATTGGCGCGCAGTGAGGAGAGTGTGGTGGGAGGACATACTTTTCAAAGACACGGCTTCGAGGGGTGCCGTACTCCACCACACACCGCACCACACGCACTGCCGCCACTGCTGCCGCCCCCGCCTGCCCCCTCGCCCCGCCTGTTCCCGTGGCCTGCTGCGGTGCACTGTCCCCTGACGGGCTGCCGTCCCTGCTGCTCCTGCTGCTCACGCTGCCGATGCTGCTGCTGCCCCAGTCCGTGGAGGAGAAGGACGCTGACGATGACATGCCCTCCACGGCCCCCGCCTGCTGCCGCTGCTGGGAGCTGGTGGGAGAGGAGGACGGCGAGGAGGCAGCAGGCACGAGCACAGGCGGCGCGGGGCGGTCGCGGAAGGCGCAGGCCTGCACCCACACGACAGTGGGGCAGTCAGCGCACCACGACGGCAGGTGCAGCGACCCCGCCACCATCGCCACCGCCTCGCTGCCCCCCTCAGGCACCTCTCCGTCGCCCCCCTTGTCCTTGGCTGGCTGGCGCAGTGCGGAGGGGTATGCGGGTGGCAAGCGCTGGCACTGGACGGTCTGGTTGGGCGGCAGCAGCAGGCCGGGGCCACCTGCTAGCCTGAGGAGCGAGCCCGCGAGGGAGTAGGAGAGCGGGTGCAGCAGCAGCCCCAGCCACTGCGGCTCGCCCAGCAGCAACGGCTGATCCACCACTGGCGCCATGTCCAACAGATGGCGCGATGGTGACACCTGTGCTCTCACAAACAGGGAACGGGCATGGCAAGCAGGAACCCCCCAGCAATATCATCAGCATTTCATTGCACGTCAGCAAGAGGCATTTCAAGGGCACGAGGAAGCAAGAGGGCATGGGCAGTGCAGGCAGCAGCAGCAGCAGCAGCAGCAGCAGCAGCAGCAGCAGCAGCAGCAGCAACAGCAGCAGCAGCAGCAGCAGCAGCAGCAGCAGCAGCAGCAGCAGCAGCAGCAGCAGCAGCAGCAGCAGCAGGAGAGGCGGGCGCACCTTGAGCACGGTGCGCAGAGTGCGCTCGGAGGTGAGGTAGTCCTCGGCCTCAGGGGGCCCGCCCTTGATGGTGGCGGAGCTGGAGCGGAAGCGCACGCGCCCACAGTGCCCCATCAGCATGCCCAGCACGTACACGCCCTGCCGCTTCGCCACCGCCACCACCTGCACCGTGTTGGGCCCCGGCTGCAGCACCACTGGCGCTGGCTCACTCTTCATCTGCACACCCCCACCCACCCCCCACACACATGCCCGTGTGGCAGAGCACGGTTGCAAATAGTCAATGTGAGGCAAGGAATCGGGAACTGAGATTCTTGAGCAATGAAATGGGTGGGTGCGCGGTGGTGCTTAGTGTGATTCGTTGGCATGGGGATGGCGGGGCTTACCCTGATGCCATCCTCTGCCGTGAAGAGAGGCGGGGTGACGAGGGAGAGAACAAGTGAGTCGAGCGCGAGCGGGGCAGGCAGGGAGCTCCACACGGCGAGGGACAGCGACACCACGTCCCCCTCGCCCAGCTCCAACGCCCTGCTGCCCGCCCTGCCCGCTGGAGACGCTGGCGCAGGGGCAGCAGGCGAGGAAGCAGGCGAGGCAGAGGGCGCGGGAGTGTGTGGGGCGAGGGAGAAGGAGAGGAGCGAGGAGACGTCGACAGAGACGGGTTCTTCCAGTCGCGAGCGCGCCACCTCCACCATCTGGCGCTGCACCTTGCTGCGCTCGTCCGCAGGCACGAGGGTGGGTCCCAGTGAGAGCAGCTTGGTGCAGGAGCCGAGGAAGGCGGGCAGGTCGCGCATGAGCAGCTGGCAGTGCGAGAGGCGCGGGAAGAGGTCCAGCAGCAGGTGGTGCCAGCGCGCTGCACTGTACGCGGCGTTCTGCTTCTCGTACACCTTGAGCGCGAGGTCAAAGCGCCCCGCCGCCTCGTGCAGACTGCCCACCTCCGCGTCCAGTGCCACGGCATGGCGCAGCCACAGCGAACGCGCATAGCAGTCCGCTGCTGACCGCGTCAACTCCAGATAGAAGTCCTGCTCGCACCCACACATGCACACACGCATGGGATGGCAGTGAGTGCAGGAATGTGAGAGAATGACGGCTCAAGAGGCTAGTAACATGCAACAGCAACTCCCTTGCTCTCATATGGACCACCCACTGTGGTGCATGCAGTGAGTGTGCTGCTGAGCGTGAGCGCAGCAGCGAGCAGGCAGCAGGGCACGGACCTCAAAGTGTTCGCGTGATGAGAGGGCGCGTTTGAGCATGCCGGAGGTGACAAAGGCCTCGAGTGCGCTGGCAGCCGCCACCTGCACCTGCGCCAGTGACAGCATCTTCGCCCCCGCTCCCCCCGGTGGCGTGCCCGGCCGCTGCTTCGGTGGCGTGCTGCTGTCCGACCTGGGAAAGGAAGAGCGAGCGGGAAAAGGGAGGCAGGGCAGCGGGGTGGGGTGTGTGACTACAGAAAGAACCAGATTCGAACAGACCACTCCCATGAAGTGAATCTGCATTGCTATCCATATTGTTTATTCGTATTCTCTCCTAACTGCATCTCACGTGCCTGTGAATGCTTGAACTATTCAGTCTGCCTGGTGAAAGAGAGACAGCAAGAAAGCCAAAGCGAGGGCGATTGAAAAGGAGTGAGAGGAGAGCAGGGAGCGCAGGGAGAGGACCTGGAGGGGTCGGGGGGGCGGGAGGGCGAGGAGTCGGGCCAGAGCCCCCCGGGCATGCCGGCAGTGAGCGAGGCCTTGCGGCGGTTGGCCTCCTGCACCAGGCTGCACGGCCCCACCCCGCACAGCCTCGCCTCCCCCCGTGCCGACCCCGCCCCCTGCATCTCCTGAATCACTGCCTGCAGTAGGGGGGTATGGGGAGGTGAAGGCAGGTAGGGGAGGGAGGGGAAGGTGAGGGCATGCAGGAGGGAGATGGACGAGCACTGTTGAAAGGGAGGCTAAGACGGAGGGAGGCAGGGCAGGGTGTAGCGTGGCATGAGCAAGTGCGGTGCAGAGAAGAGAAGCGGAGGGGCAGGGGCGGGGTGACCTCGCGGGCCTTGACTCGTGGGTCGGACTCCGAGGGCGCTGACGGCCACACCGCTGGCGCTGGCCATGCACTCAGGCCCAACGCCGCCCTGCCACGCACAAGGGGGAGAGAGGTAGCGGGGAGAGATGAGGTTGGCGTGGCATGAGTGAGGTAGGGTGCATGAACGCAGTGGTGGTGGCAGAGATGCAGAGAGGGATAGCTGCACGGACAGCTCACCAGCATGCCCCGCTGCCTATGCAGGCCCCACATGTGCATGCCTGTGAGCTAAACGGAGGACATTATGCCTGCCTATGCGTGCGTGCCAGCTCGGCCCCCTGTTAGACTCGTTCATTGCAACGTGAAAAGTGCAGGTGCGAAGGAGAGAGGGGCGAGGCGGTGGGGGCGCACATGTTGCAGGGCGTGACACGGATGGACTTGCCAAAGCCCACGAGGTCGCCCAGACGCATCAACTGCCACACACAGCGCCGCGTGGGAGGGACGCACAGCAGGGAGGCGTAGAGGGGAGGGGGGAGCGGGGTGGGGGGGTGGACATGAGCCAACTGTACGTAAGAGCATGGGGTCCAATGTAAGAACAGGGCAAACGAAACTTCTCATGTTGCGTTTTGGCAGAGGCAAGGTGGAAGGTGGCGTGGGGTGGGGGAACAGAGTGCGCAGTGGTGTGGGCGTGGTGAGCACGGTGCGCTGCAGCAGGCAGGGCGAGGGGGGGCCGAGGAGGGGGCCATGCCTTGGAACGGGCGAGGGAGATGAGGTCGCCCTGCAGGCGGAAGAAGTCCTTCTCCGTGTAGTGCCCTGGCGACCGCGGTGCAAAGCGCTCCGCACACACCGTCGTCACCAGCGTGCACGCCGACAGCACCCACACCTCCCTCATGCAGAACGGTAGCTCCCGCTGCCCAAGGCACGCAGGGGAGAGGGGATTGGATGAACAGGTGCGAGTAAGGGTGGCACGGATGGGATGTTGAAGTGAATGCAAAGGTGCGACTTGAACGATGGGGAAGCAGCTCACGGCGAGAAGGAAGGTGGCCGTGCGGATGCGAGGGGTGAGAGTGCGAGGTAGTGTTGGGGGGGGGGGGGGGGGGGTTGGGGGGGAGGTGGTGATGGTCGGCGTTGGGTTGGTTTGAGTGGCGGGAGGCGTGGGGGGGCACCTGGCGGGCGGCGAGCTCCTTGGAGAAGTCGAGGATGAACGCGTACGCCCTGTCCGCCACCACTGCCGGCCGCCCCATGGCGAACAGCAGCTGCGGGGGGGAGGGGGGAAGGGGGAGGGGGGGTGAGACGGTGAGGGGAGGGAGACGTACGGCACGGGCAGCGAGTGGGAAGGTGTTCCAAGGCAGAGGCGCGTGCTGTGAACGAAAAGGGTGAGGCTGAAACGCTGGCGAGCGGTGCTGCATGTGGTGTGATATGTGGGGCCGGAGGGGAGGGCGGTGCGGGGGGAGAGGGGGGGGGCATGCGTACAGCGGCGCGGCGGGCGAAGAGGTACTGGCGGAAGTCGAACTGCTTGATGGTCTCCTCGTGCGCAAACATCTTGATGGGCTTGCGCCCCGCGTCCAGCAGCGCCGCCCGCTCATCCCCCACGTCCAACCCCCCAAACTCCCGCACCTTGCTGTCCGCCCGCCGCACTGCACCGCACCGCACCACACCACACACACCACACAGCACCGGACACACCAGACAGCACCCCACACACATGAGGGCACGGGAGCGCATGGGAGAGATAAAACAAGGTGGTGGTGGCTTGGGCTGTGGTGTGATGCAAGAAAGGCACGGTGGTGTGGGGAATCATGGTAAACAGCATGCAGCATGTATGCAGGTGCGACGTGGCGTGGGGCGGTGGAGAAGCGTGTGTGTGGCGTGGAGGGCGAGGTGCGCACCTGTGTCGAGGTAGACCTGCTCCATCTCATCATAGTCCCTCAACGCATCGTCCCTCAACTGCGCCATCTCCGCCATCAGTGCTAGACTCTCCTGCCATGCCGCGTGCACACATGCGCGGGGGGAAAGGGAGGACGCAGGAGAGAAAGCAAGAAAGTGATGAGAAGCAATAACCCCTTTTATCCATAATGCGTTGCCTGCTCCCACCAAGGCCGCAACAGGGAAACTGTGGAGGCAGCACTCAGCATGGGGGAAGCATGGGCCAGGGGCGCACCTTATCAGTGTAGTAGGCGCAGAAGTTAAAGGAGGGCGAGAGGCGGTGGTCCAGCAGGCGTCTGACGGCATCGGAGTAGTAGACGGTGCGCGCGTCCACGCTGGCTCGAATGCACTCCACCACCTTCGCCTCCACCTCCGCGTAGTTGGGCTCCGCTGCACTCAGGTCCAGCCGCACACACCTGCTCTCGCACATGCCACCTCCACCACCACGCACCCAGGCAGCCCCGGGGGGGAAGAGGAAGGGGGGAAACTGAATGAGTATGTGGAGTGGAATGAAGGGGACCAGAAAGGAGGCGTGCAAGGGTGATGAGACGCTTCAAGCTGCCACGGCGGAGCAACAAGCAGGACAACACGGCAAGGGGGCGGGAGGGGCACCTGTCGCGGCGGAAGTGGTCTTCAATGCGCGCAAACACCTTGCGCGCCTGCTTGCCCGCGGGGTCGTTGGGTCCTGCGCGCATCACGTGCACGATCAGCCACTCGCCCTGCTCCGCCTTCACCAGCGCCTGCAGCCGCGCGCGCAGACTCACCCGGTACTCGTCCGGGTCCTGGCGCGCGGGGCACGGGGACGGGCGGAAGGGAGAGAGAGCGGGTGGGGGGGAAGTAGTGCGGAGGAGCAGGAGGAGCAGGGCAGAGCAGTGCGAGTAGGGCGTGGAGGACGCACGACGAGAGGGTGAACGTTGAGTGGGGGCGTTGAGTGGGGGCGTTGAGTGGGGGCGTTGAGTGGGGGGGTGGCGGCGACACACGTGAGCAGAGCAACACATGACCAGCGCGCTGCATGGCAACCCCTCCGCGCTGCCAACATTGCGGGTGGCAAAACGGGTGCGTATTGGAGGGGGACGACGCACGAGGGGAGAAAGAGAGCAGGGAGAGGGGGGTGAGGCGGGGGGCGTACATGGCAGGCGAGGAGGACGAGCGTGGCGTAGGGGTGGCGGAACCAGTGCGGGTTGTTCTTGACGGGCGGGCGGCTGCGCAGCTTGGGCTCGGACGTGAGCACGTACTCCAGCGGCAGGCGGTCCAGGTCCACCGCCTTGCGCGCGCGGTTGTGCAGCTGCAGCTTCTTCAGTGGCAAGCGCGACTCGAAGCTCTGCCGCACCGACGGCCACACGTTCCACTCGTCCTCGACTGCCGCGCCGCACCGTACGGGGGGGCGGGGGGGGTGGGTGGGGGGAGGCGCAGGGGAGGGGCGGTGAGATTCGAGGAGGACATTGAGCGGCGCGGCCGAGTGGCGGTGGACCAGCGGCGGGGACAGACGCGATGCCGGGATTGGCATGGCGCAGAGATGTGCGCGGGCGGGACACGAGGCGGACGCAAGGAGCAAAGGCCAGCGGCAGGAGAATGGGCGGACGCAGCGGAAGCGGGTGAGCAGGGCAGTCGCCTTGATGCCCGCGCGGAGGGACGCTCGTCCCGTTGCTAGCGCACGGCACAAGGTAGGTAGCCGTTTGCGACGCATGGCATGGATTAGCAAGAGGCAAGGAGCGAGGGTGTGCGAGCAGGGGGGGCGTGCGATGATCACTTGCGACGATGATCTTCTCGCCCGACTCCATCGATAAAGCCGACGATTGGTCCTCCGCGTGCGACGCCATGGCCGCCGCGCGGTGATGATACGATGCCTCGGCGATACAGGCCAATATAGCTAGCTAGAAGGGATCGCGGAAGCGCCCAGCAACATTGCTAGTAAGTCCGTCGTGGTTTTCGGACAACGATGGTACGCGCTAAGACTGGGCACCAGCCAACAGTCACAATAGTCCTGGACTCGCTATAGTATGTCTGTTGCTGATCGCGGTAAGAGAGCAACAACCCAACTGGAAACACAACCCCACAACTGCTTAGTGTGTCTAACACATGGCCAAGCCTTTCAATTGCAGGAGAATCAACTGCTACGTACATCAAACAAGCCCACATTCACTAGAAAGTTTTTGTACATGGTGTGAAAATGCTACTCCAAAACCCAGCGGCAAGGGCAGCTAACGACACAGCTCTGCCAGCCACTGGTGTGCAAGAATGCCAGGATTGAAAAGCCTTGTTTCCTGTGACTATGGGCTGGGTGGGCCGCAGCAAGCCACCTGGAAGCACCTGACATTAGTACCTCCGCTGCATTCCAGTTGGCCTCACAGGCCAGTGAATCACTGACCCTCTCTGTTCAGCGTTCTGCCAATGCAAGTACTCAGGGTTCAGCTTCAGGGACTTCGGGGCGCCTTGTGCACGACATGGCAGGTGAGGGCCCACCACACGTGTCACTCCAGCCGTTCAGGGCATTAGCATCCTGGCTCGCATCGCCTCCTTGGTTTGGGATACAGCCCTACCATGCCACCGCCGCATGAAACCCTCTCCCCTTGTCTCCACCTGCGCTCCTAACGGCTTCCCCTCCTTCCACCTCCACCCAGCCTTCAACCAGCCCACACGCCCCCCCTCCCCTCCCATAAGCCCTAACCCCGCTCATCTCCATGTGCCTTTTTCATCGCCTCCCCATTAATCGCCACCCACTACAGATCCCCGCCGTCCTCGCCCTCCTCCGCCCCCTTCGCCACGTCAGCAGCCGCCATCGCCAGGAAGTCCTCTGCAGCCTGTCGCACGCTCTTCACCTTCTTCCCCGCCCTCTCCGCCTCGCCCTCCCCCGCACCTCCCTCCTTCCCCGCTCCCCCCGCCCCTTCTCCTCTACCATCTCCTCCGCGCGGGCGTCGCTTCTTCCCTGCTTCGCGCACCAGCCGCCGTTGCTCGGGCGTGAGGTCCGGGATCGCGTGCACGATGAACCGGTTCGCCGCCGCCACGTTCAGCGACGACGTCGGCGCGCCCACCCCGCCGTCGGCGGCGCCGCCGGCCGCGGCGGTGTCGGCGAGGCGCACCTTGTGGACGTAGGAGTCGATGCGCGCCATGTCCTTGGCGACGCCGTGCTCGCTGGGCGCCATCCCGTACGATCGCAGCACCAGGCAGAACAGCGACGCCGCCGCGTGCGCCGTCACCAAATGCGCCTTAGCGCGGTCCATGGGCGCGAGGTCCGCCGCGAGCGCGCGCGACGAGCAGCGGTCGACAATGGGTGTTAGGCTCGTCTCCAGCTGCGTCACCGCCGCCTCAGCTGCACCCAAGGCGTCGAGGGCTTGGCGGGAGAGAAGCGTGGAGGAGACATCGGGGAGCGACGCCATGGCTGAGGAGAATCGTAAGTGGGAACTGTCGTGTCGTGTTCAAGTGAGCACATGCAGGCCAACAGCAGCGGGACGGACTTGGGATAAACAAAAAGAGTTTGTAATTGAGCCGCTGCAGTGTAGTCCTAGCCTTTGGCAAAACGTAAAACGTTCAGAACACATCTGAAACAGAATCTCTAGGTTGTTTGAATATTTGAGCCTCCTTTGTTAGTAACTAATTTTGTCACACCATAAATGAACACACATTGCTCTCACGGAGCGAGCACACAATTCCTAGGCATGAAAACAGTGACAGGTCGCAGAACGGGGGAATTGGGGGAGAGGGGGGAAGGGGGAAGTGAGGAGGAAAGAAGAGCAGAAGAGGGCAGAGAAGTAGGGGGTTACACACATGCACACACTAGTAAACACTGAGCTCGAAGCACAGGAGAGCCTATGCTGTCAGATCTAGCACGGGCTTCATCTACCATAGAAGGCCTGCTACAGTGCGTGTCAACCCCGCCCTTCAAAGATGTCTGGCCTATGCGCTGCTGCGTGCCCAGCGCGCGGGCGCTGGCGCTGGGAGCGAGGGGAGGTGGACGAGGCTGAGGGCGTGGCGGGAGCAGTGGAGGCGGGCAGGTTGGAGGTGGGGTTGGTGGCAGGGAAGGCGTCGCACGGCGGAACCACAGCCTCTCGAGACACAACCACAGATGGCACCATCACTCCACTCGCACCGCCACTCTTGCTCCCCACACCACCTTCTCCACTGCCCTTGTCCACACCCGCAGCCCCACCCACTCTCTGTGTGGCAGCAGCTGCAGCGGCGGCGGCAGCAGCAGCCACAGCAGCAGGGGCGGAGGGAGAGACATCTGAGAGGCGAGGGGGACTGGGGGTGGTCTTTGTAGTGGGCGCAGCTGCAGCAGCCGGCTTCGAGGCAGAGGCGGCAGGCAGAGAGTGTTGCTTGCTGTGCCCCGACGCACTGCCGTGGTGCTTCTTGTGCTGCCGCTGCTGCTGCCTGCGGCTGTGCGGCAGCGGCAGGTGGTTGCGTGCAGCGAGAGTGACGCCCACGCCCATGCACACCCCCACTGCCACCATCGCCATCTGTGCGCCCACACCCCCTCCTCTCCCCAGCACCATGCGCAACCCGCCCCAGATGGCCCCTGCGGCGCGCTGGCAGGACGGCAGCAGCACGCGCTGCACCAGGGAACCCAGCAGCGCCGTGGGGGCAGGAGGGGCCGCGGAGGGGCGAGAGGGCGCAGCCAGAGCAGCGGCAGCAGACCTGCCGGGCCTGCCTGCTGCTGTTGACATGTACGCGCATGGGCTCGCGTTGCTTGTCAGCCCACTGCTCCTGCCACCGCCACCAGCAGCAGCGGCCGCACTGCAGCACATGCATGCGGTGCTGCTGTCATCCCCCTGCGTGCCCTGCCAGCTCACCGACCCGCCCCCTCTCAACCCAACCCCCTCGCTCCCCCACGACTGCTCCTCCCTCTCACTGCCACTCACATCACCCCGCATGCACCCATCACAAGCGCCCGCGTGCCCAGTCCCCTCCGACCACCACCCCTCCTCTCCGCTCACCATGGAGCGCACCTGCCTCCCCGCATCCCCTCCGCCACTGCCGTGCTGCATGTGCGCCAGTCTACCTCCGCGCGCCTGCCCCGCGCGCGTGGCGGCCTTGCCGTGCGCCTGGTCCACCTCGCCGTCGTCGTGCGCGGGCGACGACGTGGACGACGCCGTGCCCAACTGCGCGCCGAGCAGCCGCGACGACGACATGCTCGATGACGAGTCCGCCGGCCCGTGCTGCGCCTGCTGCCCGCGCCGCTGCTGCTGCTGCGCCGGCTGCTGCTGCTCGAGGGTTTGATGCTGAGAGTGCGCGCGTGCCTCCGCGCGCCTGCCCTGCTGCTGCTGTGCCGCCGCCTTGGCCTGCGGGGTAGTCTGCTGCTGCGGCAGGTCGTGCGCGGGGCGGCGGGGCGCGGGCAGCGGAGTGGCGAGGGAGGCGGGCGGGTGGTTCTGCAGCTGCTGCTGGTGGAACGTGTGGTACAGCGGCGGCAGCGGCCCGGGCGCCGTGGGGTGCGTGTACGGCGGCAGACTGAGGTCCGTGCGCGGTGCTGACGTGTCGCCGATGAAGCCCAGCAGCTCCTGAACCACCTGGTCAAGGTCACCCCGCGGGGAAAGAAGGAGGGGAGGGAGACGAAAGGGGGGGGAAGTGGGAGAGATGGGGAAGGGAGAGGGGCGATGTGCAGTCTATGATGCATTGCACAGCCCAGAGATGCGCATGCCGTGCCGCATGCGCCTCCCCCAATGCTCGCGACACCACTCACACCACTCCCGCCGCATCCCCTCATGGACCTTGCCTGCGCCTCGGCGCACGCACACGGGTCCCCCCTCACCTGCCACTCGCGGCCCTGGTGCGCCAGCAGGTGTTGCAGCAGCTCCTGCCGCTTCGCCTCCACCGCCATCAGCGCCAACTCGCGCTCCGCCGGACTCACGTCCTGCTCCAGACGACGCGGAGAAAAGGGAAAGACGAGGGGCCATGGGAGGGACACGCGTCGGGCACGGCGAGGGCCGAGGGGCGATAAAAGAAGTTGGTGCCGACGAGATGCGCGAGGCAGCAAGGGGGTGGGGAAGGGGGGGGGAGGGGGAGGTGAGAGGCGGAATTATTGACTTTGCGTTTCGAAGCGCGGCACGGAGCGGAACGGCAGGGCGTACCTGCAGCGATTCCAGGTGCGCCTCGAGCTCCTCCAGCGCGTTGCGCACGGCGACGAGGCTCCGCGCCTCCGCGTTCTTCTCCAGCGCCAGCCCCTCGTGGCGCACCGACGCGCCGTCATGGCGGAGATCCCCGCCGATGGCGCTCATGGGCTGCGGGCCGTCCTCCACCTCCAGTAATGGCGCGTCGCTGCACCACGCAATACACAACCCATCGCATCGCACACAGTTGCATCGTTATCGCGCATGCTCATGTATCGTACAGGTATCATTCACACACCAATCGCATGCACGCAGGTCGCAGCTGCATAGACTGCACGCTCCCACTTCCCAAATCTCGGGACCAGCGAGGGATTGTCAGAATCGACTGAAAGAGAAGACAAAGACGAGCAGTGACATGACAGCATCGTGAAAGTGGCACGAACGGCAGGACGAATGCTGCACGCCGCAGTGTCCCATCATTATGGCGTGCAGGCGCGATGACGATCGTACACGGCGTTGCGACGTTGGAACGGAGACGTGAGGGCGTGAGACGAACGAGAGCAAGCAACGAGAAGCATTGTATAGGAGCGAGCATCGCGCGAGATGTGGAAGGCACCGCTACCTGCGCCGGTTATTGGCGGAGTAAAAGTCATCGCGAATAGCTCGCTCGATAGCGTTGGTTATTCCTCCATGCAGCTCCGATACGCGCTGCATGACCCGCGATAAGTCACTTGATCTTGCACTTCCAACAGCCATGGTGAGTCACCCTAATTCTGCCTTACAATGCGCTGTCTCGTGGACCTCTATCGCTAGCTTCACTACTACAAATGGAACTGCTTGGGGGAACAAAGCACTGGGGAGCTCGCCGGGGAAGCGCTGAACCTCTCGGATCCGCCATCCAGCAGTGTGGCGCGGAGGGTTGGGGGTCAAGCTGGTTTTGGCGCTCACCCGACGGGCAGATCTTCTATCCAAACTACGTAGCAGTTGTCCACTCCTGCTGAAAACATCCGCACCGGTTACCCCTCCGCGTCTGTGGTAGGGGAGTGTTGCGAAACCCTGGATAACTGTGGCGATGGTTCGCGAACGAATGCACCTCATCAACCAGGGCAGGTGCCTTCGAATGTTTTTATTGGGCAGCATGGTGTTGCCCTGCGATGATGTTGCTCGGTCGGAACATCAGCATTTGACGAAACCTGCGGGGCGAATCTGACAAGGTTGAGGGCGGGAAGAGTTTTTGAACGGGCGTGAATCGCTCGTTGATGGATTTGAATACGAAACAAACGTGTTTGATGGGCCGACACGGGTGAAGGCGGGAAGGAAAGAAACCGTATTCTGTCCTTGCTCCGTGCTGGTGCTGGGCCCCAAACCCTTCCCCTCCATCAGTGCCTTGCCTTGGTTGTTTTGAGTTGGAGCTCTCTTGGGATCAGCCCTTGGTTTATTGAGCTCCAGCTGCTTTGTGTAGGATTAGCTAGTCCAGCAATTTCTAAAAGCGTTGAGAAGACACAAAGAGCCAGCGATTGATTAATTTGTCACAAATTAACTCATCATTTAACAGTACGTTCAACAATACCATTTTGGCCAACTAGGGAATGAGCCAGGAGAGGAATGCTTCCTTGATCCATTGCTGCATTTCTGTACAATTAGGAAATCATAAACTACCGTCAGCAGTCACATTATAGTTAGGCTTTATGCCCAAGGTGAGTTAGAGGTTATGAAGTTAGTAGTACGCTACGGTAGGTATAAGTTGCTATTGTGAAGGCTTTCTGGTCACCACTACTCCTTGCACAACGAGATGGGTTGTCAGGAAAGCAGGGACCAGTTGTGATGTCACCAAAACGCCTCCCTCACTTCCACTGCTGCCACCTCCATTCTTCGCACTGCCTGCCAACCCGCTCCTTAAGGCACTTTCTGAAGCTGTGCCAAAAATGCTGAACCCCGCAGCTGCGCCTGCACTAGGTTCACCTGCTGGACCAGTCGGTTCTGTCCAGGTATAGGGTCGCATCAAAGCTGGATCAAAAGGGACGTTTGGTGGGATGCGGGAGATGCGGAGAGGACACCCAAATGACCACGCGGCTTCGTGCAGGCCGAGCACAGCGCGACACAAGCTGACGAAGTCGGACGACGCCGCGGCGAATTCATCGCCTTCGTCGCCCAGCAGCGCGGTGGACATGCGCTCGTCTGGCAGCTCGCGGCCCCCCGCCAGCGCGGCTGCCTGCAGCCATTCGCCCAGCTCCTCCAGGCGACGCGAGCAGAAATGGGCGAACTTGGCTTCTCGGTTCGCGTCGAGGCTGCCTCTGAGCGCGCGGTCCTTTTCCTTGAGCGCCAGGAACTTGGAGAGCTTCATGGCGCAGCGCTCGTCGTTGCTGAGCAGGCGGCTGAATCCCGCGCGCACGAAGTCCTCCGCCTCGAAGTCCGTGAAGAGCACGCAGCTCGCGATGTTCAGCACGCAGTCCAGCAGCGACGCGCACTCGCTGCGATGCCGCCCCCGCCGCCGACTGTGGCAGCTCTCCGCGTCGCTACCCGCCCCATTGCCATCGTCCGCGTGGTGCGCGGCTTTTCCTCCTACCATCTCCAACACTAAATGGTCAGTTCTATAACCCTGCCGTGAAAGGCGGCGCGACACGTTCCCACAGTAGGCCTCCATGCACTCCGCTACACGATGCACCTGCGACACGAACAGCTCCAACAGCCACGCCTCGTTCGCCTGCCGAGCCCCGTCCGCGCAACGCCCTCCGGCGGTAAGCCGAACACCCTCTGGCAGATCTTTCCCCACGCTGCTGGACGACCATCCGAAGTCACACAACGAAACTAGGCTCATCGCGCGGGTGGCAAGGGCTGCCGGAGGCGCATCTACGCTACTGAGGCCGGCAGCGGCATCGTCCATGCTCGACACCTGCAGCTGCACGAGGGAGTCTGTCAGGCGACGCCGTGTGATGCATAGCTGCGACTGCACCCGCTCCAGCTCCCGGCTTAGCTCGTCCACCTGCTCCCGCAGTGCCTGGCTCTCCTCCCGCCGACTACCGCTACTGCTTCTACTGCTGCTGCTACACCGCCGGCTGGGCCTGCTGCTGTCATTGCTGCTGCCTCTGAAGCTTCCGCTGCTACTGTTTTGCCCTGACCCTTTGCTCCTTCGTCTACTCCGTCTCCGGCTCCTGCCTCTGCTCCGCTGCTCCGCAACCACGATCCCATCAACGCCCTTAACCTCTCCGCTTCGCCCTTTCGGCCCCTCCCTCTCGTCACTGCTCGTGGATCTCTCCCGCTCGTCTGCGTCCCGCACGGTGTCAGTAATGTCGCATCCACAATGCGGGCACCGCACTGCTCCAGCAATTCCCACACGGTAAACCGCATCGGAGTCTACTGTAGGAGTCATTCTATCTAACGCTAGTGCTGCCGCTGCTGCTCGAGCAGCTAACTTCTTGGAGAACATCGCTTGGTCCTTAATATGGGCTGTGTGCGCTCCGCCGCCAGGCAGCTCCCCATCGCCATCCTCTCTGAGTGTGCCCACAAGTCCCTCCCATTGGCTGTTCACTGCCTGAAGCTCCTCCGCATGACGCGTCACTATCTGGTTCAGAGTCTCCCTTAGCGCTTGTATTTCTAGCTCCTTCTCCTCCCGCTGCTCTACTAGTATCCGTTGTAAGTACGCTACTTCGCCTTCTAGCTTGGATCTAATGGGCTTCGACTCCATAGTGGCCATGCCGCCCCGTTGCATGGCCTTAACGCCTTGTGTGCGGAAGAACGAAGTTTGATCCTAAAAGCATTGGTTTGCCTCCGCGCATAGGCCGCGTCGGTACTAATGAAAAGCGGTATACAACTAGAACGTTATACTAAAGTAGCTGAGCTGTTGCTGCACGCCTGTTGCAACGAAGGCACGGCTACCAAGGGCCGAACACAAACGTCAGAAAGTAGTGGAGCTAGTGATGTTATTGAGGCATCAGCTCGTCAAGAAGTTCCTTGGCGCCAAATCTGGTGAGTCACAAAAGGTGTGTGACATGCCATTGGTCTGGTGAGAGTGGTTGGGGTCTGGATTGGGGAGAGGGGTTGTCCCGTGTCAACTGCTCACTTCAGTTTCGGCTTGAGAGTCGCATCTGATGTGACGCACACGACATTGGAGGGAATCAAGTCCGGAAGCCGAGTCGCTCACTGTTTCAGTGAGCAGCGCGCTCCGCAATGAATTTCCCACCCGCGATGTTTTTTGTACTCGATAGGAGGGCAAGCGATATCAAACTATAAATAGAACCATCGACCGCCTTCTTCGTGCGAGCAACCTTGGCGACATCTGTGTTTTCTACAGATGGATAGCTCAACGGCCTCTGGCAGTGCGTATCTCGCTCTGACAGCTCAGCACATTGGGCTCTCCAGGGCGTCCCCGCCGCGCTGGGGCGACCGCTGCGCGACGAGCAATCTCCACAAAGATGCGTGCAAAGCCCAGGGTAACCTTCGCGAAAGTCTAAAGGTTGTGCAACACTTTCGTCTGCACACGAATTTTGTCCGAGGTAGGACACACATGACAGGACGTTTCTCTGTTGGCCCCCACGACAGCCGAAACGGAGGGGATCGTTACGGATTTACTTTGGCTCTACGACGCCCACCCTGGAACTGAAAACAAAGCGATTGTCATTTACCTACACACCACCCCTTTTGGCCCGACGTCGTTGCATTTCGAGCTCGGTAGAAGTACACCTTGATTTCAAAACCTTTGCACACGTAATTCAAGGGGCACTTCCTCTGTATTGCCATACTCTTACGTCCGAGCCACCACCTTTCCCTAGTTTCTTGGCCTTCATGTGGAAGCCTCGAGACAGATCACAAACGAGCCGAACACACTGAGAATAGCCTCAACCTAGATTCGCATACTATCGTCAAGGCGTATCCACACCTCCAAGGCTGCAAGGATAAGCAACGTAGCTTGTATAGAACGTTCGGCGTACGGCTTCCTGCGTTTATTAGGAACCGTATAGATTCCTGCATTGAGATCTCGTTGCGGCTCGGGCAATGGGCTTCACTAGCACATTATAGGTTTTCTGATCTCCTGCCATCAAATCCGTCCCTCGGCAGTGGTGACTTTGTCACACTCGCAACCATACATCAATCTGCTCGTTTTCAACAGCCCTGCACATGGCCTCGTTTTCTGCAGGGTGGCAGAGTTACAACTTCAAAGCCGGTCTCCGCAGCAGATTCGCCCGCGCACTCGCTCAAAAGGATTTCAGCAAAGTGTCGAGACCGCCAGTGAATGCTGTTCGACCGAATGCCTCGTTTTCTGAAGGCGTCGCGACTAAAGATGTGAGGATCAACGACAACACGGGTCTGAGCGTTCGAATATTTCTGCCAGCATGCGCCATTCAGCCAGGCAAAATAAACGAATTCGGGTGGATGATGCGTCGCATGGGCACAGCGAGCGAGTGGTTTCCGCCGCCCGGCGACGCCAACGAGCAGTTCTGGCAGGGCGCCAACGGCGACGGCGCCGGGGCGGCCAACGGAAACGGAGCGGCGGACGAGGAGCAGGAGGGTGCAGCGGGCAGCGGCGGGCCGTACACTGGGTACGTGCCGAATCCGACGGGCACGAACCACCAACTGCCGGTGATCGTGCAATTCCACGAGGGCGCGTTCGTGACCGGCAGCAAGGACTCCGCGTGCAACGACACCTTCTGCCGCCGACTCGCACGGGTACGGCCTTCTGCCCTCACTGCTTCCTCGCTCTACCGTGACTGTCATTGCTGCAGATGAGGGCCAGTGCGTGTGCCGCTGCCTAGGTTCGGGGTAGAGTGTGCTGAGCGGAGGCCACGGGATCTGTCCGTACGCGCGAGCGAACAGACATGCCTCACGACCCTACCGATGTCGCTTTTCCCCGCACTCATAACCACCCGAATTCAAGTCTCTCAATTTCCACCCCGGTCGTCTCAGTCCATGCCGTAGCCCGAATCCCTCGTCTTGCATCTCATTCGCTTCAAATCTCAATTTCCGCTTCCCCCCAACCCTCCGCCGCGCGTGCGCGCAGGTGTGCAACGCGATCGTGGTGGCGGTGGGGTACCGGTTAGCGCCGGAGCACAAGTGTCCGGCGGCGTACGACGACGGGTACGAGGTGCTCAAGTGGCTGTCGCGCCAGGCCATCCTCGCTGACGCCGAGGCCGACGTGCGCTCCTCGCATGCCCAGGTGACTGGGGGGAAGGGGTGAGGCAGTGGATGCGAGCATGGAATGTGTGGGGTTATGGCTCGTGTCTGAAGCCAAGGGAGGTCCGTGAGGGGTAGTGGAAAGTCAGCTTGGGCTCCCGTGAAAGGCCATGACATCATTTTCACTCCTTCCTTTTATTTTGAAAGGCATCTATCTCACTCCGCTGCCACCCCGCCCCACCCTGTCCTCTCCCTCCCTCATGCGCGGTTGTCGAATGCCTCATGTGGGTGCATGCATGCGCGTGTGGGTGGGGGAATGTTGGGCTGTGTGCCCTGCGTTGTGCTCCTGCCCACCTCTCCGCGTGTGTGTGTGCGTGCATGAGTGTGTGCGTGCAGCAGGGCGGGGAAGTGGGAGCGGGCGATGAGATGAGGGGGTTGACAACGCGGCTGGTGCAGGAGCTACCAGACCCATGGCTCGCCGCACACGCTGATGTGCACAGGTGCGCGCCAGCATGCACATCGACACACCAAGCAACTCATCTCATCCCTTCTCGTGTGGCCTCTCGTTCCCTCCTCAAGACCACGCACACCTCCCGTTCAACGCCCGTTATTCGCCACCACATATGGATCATGAATGGCCTCGCGTCATTGCTCAGCTTCTTGTGCCTTCCACCCGTGTGCCCCCTCCTCAGGTGCATTCTCCTGGGCGTGAGTGCGGGTGCGAACGTGGCAGACCAGGTGGCACGGCGCTGCGTCACACCGCACGGGGTGAACGAGCTGCAGCCACTCGTGGTGCTGGGGCAGGTAGGAGGACCAGTGGGTGCACACGCCAGGGGCAGCTGGGCTTAGCGAGGCAGAGTGAGCAAAGAGCAGTCGCACGCTCTGGGCGGATGTCCTTGGCTTCACCTCCTCCTTGCCACACTAATTTCACCATATCCCCCATCCCACCTGTCACATGTGGCGCCATGCAGGTGCTGCTGTACCCTCTTTTCGCGGGGTCCATGCCAACACCCAGTGAGATGAAGGCGCGAGACGCCTACTTCTTTGACAAGCCCACGTGCGAGCTGGTGTTCCGCCTCTTCCTGCCCGACGATGACTTCTCCCTCGACCACCCCGCCGTGAACCCACTGCTGCGCGAGCACCTGCCGCCGGGCATGCCGGCCACACTGCTGGTGGTGGCGGACCACGACATCCTCACTGACCGCGCCATCGCCTACTCCGTCTTCCTCAAAAACTTCGGCATTGATGTGCAGGTGCGCACTGCACTGCATGCACGCCACGGGAATGTTGTTGGGGTGGGAAAGGGGGAAGAGGGGAGTGGGGAGGGAAGAGGGGAAGACTATGCGGGTGGAGAGTGTGGGTGTAGGGGGGAGGGGGGGTGCGGGCATCTGCGGTGTGTGTGACCTTTTAGCAGCATGTGGGCTGACGTTTTTTTAGTGCAAAGCTGCTTGCTGGCCATGCTTGATTGCAGCATTGAATGGTGCCCAGTGTGCTGTACATGTGTGTGCGGTGCAGGTGAACAGCTACAAGGACGTGGTGCATGGGTTTGCAACATATGAGGGCATGGTGAACACGCCACAGGCAGAGGCATGTGCGGAGGACATTGCGATGTGGATCGCCAAGCATGTCTCTACGCGCTCCGATGCTACAGAGATGTCCTACTGAGCCCACACAGCCACGCTGTACCATGCCTCCCTGCTCAACTATACCCTCCTCCCCCTTAGCCTGCCCGGTGTCCTCCCAGTTCTCACCTACCCTACATGGCTGCATTCTCAATCTCTCCTGCTCCGCATGTTCCAATATGCACACTTACACTCACGCACTTTAGTCGTCCAACTGAATAGTACGTCAGCTTTTAGTGCCGTCCAACTGAGTTGTGGGGCCCACTTGGTCCTGTACAGCAAGGGACACTGTGTTGCTGCCTTGTGGGCTGCCACGCCTGCATCTATACGGAAGTCGTCTTGGCCATACCACAATGTTGTTTGTTTTGGCTCGGTCATGTGGAAAGATCAGAAGTATCGACCCAGTGAGCTTTATGCACAATACAGGGCAACTGATGGTCAAAGGGATTGTGCTAAATGATGAGGTCCATCCACCAATATTTGATAATTTGACAATGCGGGACAGCAGAATATTACAATCTTGAGAGGGGTTGGCCACATGTCCCTGGTTGAGCATGATGCTGAAAGTTGCTTCATTCAAGTGAAGATTATGAAATACGTAGAATATATAGCATAAAACGATTGTTACAAATATTAGAATCGCCTACGCTGACAAGTGTCAAGCAGAACGACCATATTTTGAGATGAGGTGCTCTGACGTGGTCATTTTTGTGCGGTCCACATGGCATCCTCAATCCACCTGGCCACTCTTGTTCGCTCCAAAAAAATTGCTTCGCGTACACAGGACGTCGTTCCGCCGTACGATGTCATCACTACGACCATCACTCCGACCATCACCGTCCATACCGCACCCCCTAGATTGATGCTGCCGATCGAATCCAAGGTTGGAGGTGCGGCAGGTCTGCCCGCGCGCGGTGCTGCAGAGCAACCATGACTCAGCATCAGCACACGGGGTGCATGCTCTCCCATCGCGTCAACCTCACTGCTTGCTTGTACGCTCACGCCTCCTCTCACAGACATCCCTATTTTCTCGTGTGGCGGGAATGTGCAATCTGCATCCGTCAGCTGTTCCACCACCACGACAACCGAACTGGAGTGCGTTGACCACGCGAATGGCTGCTTCAACTATGCGATACCGTCACTAAGTCGCGGGTCGTCTTAGTAACCCAAAAGCGTCTCGCCGCACTCGGAGGTGTTCCAGCTCAGGCCTAAATGATTCAGCTGGGTCTATTTGAGGAGGCTACCTGCCGCATCCCGGTCGTCTCACCGCCAGCCCGCATACGCGGGGTCGCTGTAAATATTAGGATCCCCGCCTTCTCTCGTCTGCCGGCTTCGAGGCAGGTCATACGGAGTGGTTCCGCGGCGAGGTCGCCGTTTGCGTGTCCACGGCATGGGTCGTCCAGGAGTTGTTGCTGCACACGGAAGTTAACAGCCAGGGCCTTCCACCGTTCCAAGGAGGAGGCGGAGGCTAGCTTTGAGGAGAGCAATAGTCTGTTGGACGCAGCACTCAGCCGCGAGGAGCAAGCTGACCTATGCGACAGACCGTTGTCCGCCGTTCCCCTTGACCGAACCGAGGCCTCGCGTAGAGCAGGTGACAGCAGTCACAGACCTATTGCCCGATTTCCCGGCCACGCACATACGCTGTTTCCTGCGTTCTTTCCTCTCTTCGTCACTCCCCAGCTTAGGCCATCGGTAGCGGCATCTGCAGTTTCCCCCAGGTCCGGAGGTACTGCCAGTGATCAGGCCCCTCTAAACCAGTTGCATTCGCTGCCTCTCGTGTCGGGATTCAAGAGCATCGAGCCGGGTGACCTAACGAGGAGGACTTCAGAAGAGGCGTGCTCGTCGCCGAAGCTGGTTCCGGGTAGTCCGGGTCCAGGCCTTTCCACGTGGACCGGGGCTGTGGGGCTTCTTACTGTATTGACTGGTCAGCTATCTGGGAACTTGTACCGGCTGATTGGCGCCAGTGCGTCCCTCTCAACGTCCGCCACCATCCGTCGCCCACTCGCGCCACCGTCGCCGCCCTCCGAGCTCAGGTTCATGGACACTGTAGCTTCTCCCCCGGCGACAGTCACTGCGGCCGACATTGGCGATGCGGACCGGCTACAGGAGTGGTTGGAGGCGCGTTTGCCGGGCGGCAAGGCGGTGCTGGAGCGATGGGGCAGGGAGCGGGGCACGAAGCGCGTGGCGAATCTGTGGCAGGAGCTGGTGGACGGCGAGGTGTGCCTCGTGGATTCGCGCCCGCCGCTGCGCAAGGTGAGCGTGGCGAGCGTGCACGTGCGGCACGCGCGCACGGGCAAGGTGCTGCTGGAGGCCCTGCAGGAGATGGCGGACGGCACGGTGCGCTCCAGAAACCGTCCGCTGTCGGAGAAGATGCGGCCCGCGGAGAACCCCCTGGACGCGTGCCGGCGCGGTATTCTCGAGGAGCTGGGGGAGGACCTCGGGGCGAGCCACCGCGTGTCCGTGCTGGCGGACACGCTGCGGCGGCAGGTGGAGGAGCGCGAGTCGTTCTCGTACCCAGGGCTGCGGTCGCAGTACGAGATTCACGTGGTGGAGGCCGTGGTGGAGGGCCTGCCGGAGACGAGCTTCTGTACCGTGGAGAACGAGGGGCAGGCACAGAGCAGCAGCAGCAGCAGCAGCAGCAGGTGCATAAGTGCGCTGCTGTCAGCGGCGAGGGGCCGTGCATGTGGACCGGCAGCGGGAGTGGTGAGGCGAGGCCCAGGCCGTGCGGGCGTGGGGCAGGAGCAGGTGCAGAGCAGGGGGTGAATGGCGGGGTGTGTTCCAGTGAGGGTGAGGGGCAGGGCAGTGGAAGTGATGGTGAGCAGCGTGTGCTGGGCGTGAAGAGGCACTTCTGGGTGTGGACGGACAGAAGGTGACAGCCACGCCGTGCCATGCCATGCATTGTGTACAGAGTTTTGTTTTACAGCATTTCTAGGCTGCTCTTTGTAGTCCCACTGCCTCATACTGCTTTGTTCTGCACTAATTTAGGTGCCTCTCCTGAACCTTGTGATTCTTGGATCAAAAGTATACCTGCTTCACGCACAGTTTTCCTGCCATAGCAGGGGTTACGATAGAGCACTTCGCTAATGTAACATAAAACCAATGTACGGTAATTGAATACAGGAAACCAGCTAAAAACGAATGGGGCGGTATTATTGCACATGGTGGTCAAGCAAGGCATGTCCACATACCACCACACACAGGGCAGCCCTGAGACCAGCGAGCAGGCCACCACTCGGAAGCCAGGCTGCTGCCTGCACTGCCTATTCCTGCTGCCCCGCCCCCCTCCCCAGCACCGTTGCTCCCGGCCCCTGCTGTGCCTGCCTGTGCCTGCACGGATTGAGGCACTGCCATAGTGGTTGTCTGCCGGCCACACCGCACACACTGAAGGGGGGGGGGAGAGGAAGGGGCACGCACACAGGGACGCATGGCATGGCAACAGAAGCCCAGGAAGGTGGAGGAATGCAGGAAGATGAGGAAAGTGCAAGGCCCAGCAGCAGGGAGCGGTGGCGAGCGGTGCAAGAAGCGGGCTCCATGGCTCACCTTGTACCACTGTGCAGTGCCGCCCCAGCGCCACGTGCTGGCCACCACGTCCCTGCGCCCGCCCTGCAGCCCCAGGAAGCCCCCCAGCCCCGCACTGCACGCCAGCCCCACCGCCGCATCCCTCTCCGCTGCACGCCGCTTGCGCGGCCACACTCCCACTCGCCCTGCCCCTGCCCCGCCTGCCAGCAGCGACGCATCCCTGCCCCACGTGCCCCCCTCCACGTATCTCCCCCTCATGCCCCGCCGCCTCCTCGCTCCCTCCGCCACCCTCCACGCCCTCTCCATCCTCCTCCTCCCCATTGCACCCCATACCTCTCTCCCGACCCGCTTCCTCGCCCGCCTGTCCTCCCTCCATCCATCCTCTCGCTCGCTCCCTGCCCTCTTGTCCCCACCCCCCTCGCCCGCGCCCCCCTGCACCCTCCTCCGCTTGCCATGTCTGCTGAACCCAGATGGACTCGCTCCCCTCTTGCCGTGCGCCACTGCACCATCCCCATGCACCCTCCACTCTTCTCCCCTCCCCCTCCACCCCCCCTCCTCCTCATCCCCCCTTCTCCCTCGTCCTCCTCCTCCTCCCCTTCCCACATGCCGTCCTCGCCCTCCTCCCCTCTCTCATCCTCATCGTCCTCCCACCAGTCGCTCTCGCCGCCCGCCAGCTGGGTGCAGGGCGGCACGGAGGCCCAGGGGGGCGGCAGGGAGGGGCGGGGGAGGGTGTCCTCGGCGGGCGCGTGCAGCTCCAGCTCGCGCATCAGCAGCGCCGCCGCATCCGCCCCCCGTGGCCGCGGCAACGACTGGTGCAGGGGGGAGAGGGGGGTTGGGGAAGGCGGGAGTGGGGGGTATGAAGGGAGAGAGGGTTGGTTTGGGTGGGAGAAAGGTGTCTAGAACGCGATGGAGAAGTGCAGAATACTGAGGCAGAGAGAGCAACAGTGGGATGTGTGGCGAGCAGGGAGTCGTGGGTGACACAGATTGACGTGCTTGGGGGAGACAGCACGGAGGCGCGTCGACATGCAGAGATAGAGCGTACACTCACAGAGAGAGCGTCGACCGGCAGAGATAGAGCGTACACTCACAGAGAGAGCGTCGACATGCAGAGATAGAGCGTACACTCACAGAGAGAGCGTCGACCTGCAGAGATAGAGCGTACACTCACAGAGAGAGCGTCGACCGGCAGAGATAGAGCGTACACTCACAGAGAGAGCGTCGACCGGCAGAGATAGAGCGTACACTCACAGAGAGAGCGTCGACCGGCAGAGATAGAGCGTACACTCACAGAGAGAGCGTCGACCGGCAGAGATAGAGCATACACTCACAGAGAGAGCGTCAACCGGCAGAGATAGAGCGTACACTCACAGAGAGAGCGTCGACCTGCAGAGGTAGAGCGTACACTCACAGAGAGAGCGACGACCTGCAGAGATAGAGCGTACACTCACAGAGAGAGCGTCGACCGGCAGAGATAGAGCGTACACTCACAGAGAGAGCGTCGACCGGCAGAGATAGAGCGTACACTCACAGAGAGAGCGTCGACATGCAGAGATAGAGCGTACACTCACAGAGAGAGTGTCGACCGGCAGAGATAGAGCGTACACTCACAGAGAGAGCGTCGACATGCAGAGATAGAGCGTACACTCACAAAGAGAGCGTCGACCTGCAGAGATAGAGCGTACACTCACAGAGAGAGCGTCGACATGCAGAGACAGAGCGTACACTCACAGAAAGAGCGTCGACCGGCAGAGATAGAGCGCACACTCACAGAGAGAGCGTCGACCGGCAGAGATAGAGCGTACACTCACAGAGAGAGCGTCGACCGGCAGAGATAGAGCGTACACTCACAGAGAGAGCGTCGACCGGCAGAGATAGAGCGTACACTCACAGGGAGAGCGTCGACCGGCAGAGATAGAGCGTACACTCACAGAGAGAGCGTCGACCGGCAGAGATAGAGCGTACACTCACAGAGAGAGCGTCGACCGGCAGAGATAGAGCGTACACTCACAGAGAGAGCGTCAACCGGCAGAGATAGAGCGTACACTCACAGAGAGAGCGTCGACCGGCAGAGATAGAGCGTACACTCACAGAGAGAGCGTCGACCGGCAGAGATAGAGCGTACACTCACAGAGAGAGCGTCGACCTGCAGAGATAGAGCGTACACTCACAGAGAGAGCGTCGACATGCAGAGATAGAGCGTACACTCACAGAGAGAGCGTCGACCGGCAGAGATAGAGCGTACACTCACAGAGAGAGCGTCGACCGGCAGAGATAGAGCGTACACTCACAGGGAGAGCGTCGACCGGCAGAGATAGAGCGTACACTCACAGGGAGAGCGTCGACCGGCAGAGATAGAGCGTACACTCACAGAGAGAGGCTCGACCGGCAGAGATAGAGCGTGCACTCACAGAGAGAGCGTCGACCTGCAGAGATAGAGCGTACACTCACAGAGAGAGCGTCGACCGGCAGAGATAGATGGGCATGTGAGAGCATGAGGGGAGGTGGGAGGGGGGCACCTGCATCTGTGGGGAGAGCCAGGCCTCTATGGCCTCGGGGGGCACGGAGATAGACCCCTGTGGGTAGTGCAGCCGCGCCACCATGCCACTCCCACTGCTGCCTCCGCCCCCTCCACTGCCTCCCACCGCCCCCCCACCGCTGCTGCCTGCTGTGCCTGCGGCTGTGCCAGGTGTGGGAGCAGTGGGCACATGAGTGGGCGGCATGGTGGCGGGCAGCGGTGCTGTCTTCTTGCACAGCTCCGAGCACACCACAAACAGTGCCTTCACCTGCTCACACGCACACCAGGGAGGAGGACAGAGGTGGAGGGAAGGAGCAGTATTGAAGCATTTCCAGAATCCTCACCTCATTCCAACTCACCTTGTACCATTCCGTGCAGCATCACTTTCAGTCTTTCACCCATCCACTCCAGCCCACCCATCGCCCTCACTTTCTCTTCTCATCCTCCCCTCCTCTCACCTCTTCCGGTGTGTACCCCAGCCCGCCATTGCCATGCCCCAGCCGCACGTGCCGATCCTCCATCGACCGTCCCAGCCCCGGCCGCATGCCTCCCCCTGCGCCCTCCGCGCCCCCGCCCACCCCCACGCCCATCCCTCCGGCAGCGCCCGCAGCGGCGCCTGCCTTGGAGGCGGGGGGGGGAGGGCTGCGGCGGCGGAAGACAAGGCAGAAGAACATGAGCTGGCACAGGCGGTGCAGGAAGTGCGGGTCTGCTAGCAACCGCACTGCTGGCAGACCTGAGAACGCGGACGGGGATGCTGATGGCAAGTGCGGCGCTGCTGCAGGGGGGTGTGCGGCACCTGGTGCTGGGGCACCTGCTGCTGGGGCACCTGCTGATGCTCCTGCTGATGCAGATGTTGCTGCGCCCGCGCTACCAGCACTGCCGGCGGCAGCAGCGGAACCAGAGGCTGTAGCAGCAGTGGGTGCTGTGGCAGGTACGGCGGTTGGTGGTGCAGCGGAGGGCAGGGGGGCGGGGGCAGAGGAGGCGGAGGCGTGGGCGTGGGCGGTGAGGGTCTTGAAGAAAGAGAAGTAGCGGCGCAGGCGCGTGAGGAAGTGCGATACCAGGTCCAACACCGAATCCACATACGCCTGCATGGGGAGAGGAGAGGAGAGGGCCATGGGAGAGGATGGCTGAATGCTGGAGCACATGGAAGGTGCATGTGGGTCAGGAGGTCAGGGATGTGGAAAGCACATGGCACATGGCACATGGCATAACACGGCATGGCAAGGGAGAAGGGCGGGGCTCACATGGATGGTGGGGATGAGCGCAGGGTCGACGGACATGGCATCGTTGCCGAGCTGGGAGAAGGTCTCAGCGGAGGCGGTCCAGGGCGAGGGGATGAGCGTGGCGGGGTTCACGAGTGCTGACTCTATGGCGCCCCCCAGCACCTCTAGTAGCACGCGCGCCTGCACGTCCAGCATCACTGCCCGCACGTCTGCTCCCCCCACACCCTCCAACACACGGCACTTGAGCCGGTCCAGCTCCTGGGGGGGGGCAGTAGGGGGGCATACATGTGGTGATGGTGCAGGGAGATGGGGAAGGCGGGGTGAGGGTGGCTTGATGGGATGAGGTGCGCGGGTGCTGGTGGGTTGAGGGAGGAGGGATGGAGACTGAGGATGCGGAATAGATAGCAGCACATGGAGAATGCGAGGCGAGGGCAGGAAGGGAGAGGAGGAGTGCAAGATGTGGGTAAGTTTGGTGCGAGTGTGGAGCTCGGGAGAGAGGAGGTGCTGACAGTGAAGTAGTGCAGGCGCAAAGAGGCGTCGGGCAGGGCATGGAAGTCCGCGTCCAGATGGGCCAGCAGGGATGTGCTGCGCACTGCACCACACCACACCGCACAGCACAGCACAGCATCGCACAGCATATGTTAAAGCACAAGACGGGCACATGATGAGACAAGCGTTGGGGCAGCAGCACAGATGTGCGGATCATAGCAAGCAGGTTGGTGGGGATTCGATTAGCCCACCTGGCGATTGTGGTGCGCCTGTTGTGGCAGAGGCGGCAGCATCCCACCACGACACGCCACTCACCCACGCCCACTGCACTCTGATCGGCTCACACGGCAATGGCATGGCACGCATGGGTCACAGTGCAAAAAGGCTCAGGCTAGAGTGCATGGGGAGAGTGCATGGGGAGAGTGCATCATGGGCGCATGTGTGCAAGGCTAGATGCATGCAACGATGCAACGTTGCTCATGGGTGCAGCATGTTGCACCACAGCACATGTGCAAAGGCATCCGTGCCTCACCTGTCAGCCACATGTCGCTCCCATGATGCAACCCCCTCCCGCCCCTCCTTCCCTGCCTTCCTCTCCTTCGCCACACCCTCCCCACCCACTTGTCCGTCCGCTCCCCCACTCTCCCCCAACCCATCTGCGCCACTGCGCTCCACCGCCACAGCACTTGGCGTCACCGGCTGTGACGGCGCACCAGAGTCACTGGCAGGGGCGCCAGCAGTGGGTGCAAGGGGCACATGAGGCACCTGCGATATGCGCACCGTCAGCTGCTGCTGCTGCAGGGGGGTGGTCCATGGTGTGGCCATGCAGCATGCGGAGGGGGAGAAGGCGAGCGGGGGAGGCGTGGAGAGTGGCAGGGGGGCGTGCGGTGGCGGGTGCACCACGGAGAGCAGCTGGAGAGAGGGGTTGGAGAGGAGGATAATGGCGGAGCAGGATATGTATGAGGCGGAGGGCATGGAGGGGGGGAACGCGGAGGGCCCATTGGGGGCTGGCAAGGGGTCATCATGCAAGGCAGTTATGCGTGCATGCCCAGTAATGGCACCAGTGCCATCAGGGGGTGGATCGGTGTCATGTGAAGCAGCAGCCATGTCACATGGAGCACCGTCGACCGCGGCACTGGTGCCATCCACCTGCTTCTGCAGCTGAGGTGTGAACGTGCTGTGCCAGCTCACCGCCAGCTCAGCGCCTGTGGGAGAGAGCTGGAGGGAAATGGCAGGCATGGCGTGAGAAGGCGTGGGGGTGGGAACAAGGGCAGGCGAGGCCACAGGCTGCGCAGCAGTGACCAGGGACGCGGATGATGACGGTGCAGAGGCAGCAGCAGCAGCAACAGTGCTCCATGTTGGTGCCGCATAGGCAGGCACCCTGGTAGGGCGGTGAGGGGCGCAGGGCAGGAGAGCAAGGTCAGGGGAGGAGGAGGCGAGTTGCCAGGTGAAGGTGGGGGGGCAGGGGAGGGCGGAGTGCGGTGCAGGTGTGGGGTGGGCGGCTGCAAGGGCATCAAAGATGGGGTGCACTGGGGGAGGCGTTGACTGCTGGCGCAGGTGCCAGCGCTGCACCGTGAGGGATAGCGTGCAGAGTGGGGAGGGCGGAGTGGTGGTGGGCTCTGAAAAAGGAGGCGCGTGTGAGAGCGATGACGCTGACGGGGCTGCTGGTGGCGCATGCAGCGAGGGGGCGTGGACTTGCTTGGCTGCACCGGCACAGGAAGCAAGAATGAGGGAGGGGGGGGAGGCAGGGAAAGGGGTGGGGGTTGTTGAATGAGGGAGTGTGGGGTGAGAGAGGTTGTGCATGGAGGGGTTGTGGCGGCATGAGTGGGGTATACCAGACAGGCTGTGCGCACACGAGAGAAACGCAAGCAGGGAAGTTGGACGAGGGAGAGCAGGGTGAATCATTCATCCTTCCATGAGTGAGGGGAAGGGAAGCACTCACCAACGCCCACTGCCACGATCACCGTTGCCACACAGTCTCCTTCCTCCTTGCCACCTCCACCACTGTTATCCACCACCACTGCCAACACCTCTCTCCTCTCCCTCCCACTCTCCTCCCCTCCTCCACCACTCCCCACAACTGCCATTCCCCCTCTCCCCCTACTCCCAGTTCCGCCACCAACCTACCCTCCAGCCAAACCCCTCCCCCGTCCCTCCCCCCATCCCCCACCCCTTTCCCCCCTGGTCCCCCCGCCTGCGCCCCCCTGAGCAGCAAAGCTGCAGCGATGGGGTTCAGGGCTGGGGACGAGAAGGGGGAGGGAGAGAACATGCTGAGGGGGGAGGCGACGGGAGCGGAGGAGGGGGAGGGGGGAGTGTGGATATGGAAGAGCAGGCAGGAGGAGGGTGATGCACTGGGGACGAGCGCGACGGTGAGTGAGTGGGCAGGGCCTGCAATGCACACGTGCGCTGAGAGCACCCCACCGGGGGGCAGCGGGAGAGTGGCGGGGGGGGAGGAGAGCCAGAGAGGCTGGGGGGAGGATGGCGGAGGGGAGGGGGAATGGGTAGAGGAGGGGAGGGAGGCGGAGGAAGGGAGTGGTGGGTGTGGTGTCTGTGGTGTTTGTACGGTGTGGGTGGGTGGCGAGGAGGAGGAAGGCGGCAGGTGCGAGGTGGAGCGCCAGAGCAGCAGCAGCGTGTTGGGCTGCAGCACCAGCGCCATGCACGGCAGTGAACAGCGCGGCCAGTGCGCTGACCAGGGGAAAGGGGGGGAGAGGAGGGAGAGAGGGGAGAAGAGGAAAGGACTTGGCGGGAAAGAAGGAACGCGAGTCAGAGGTGTGTGGGATACATAGAAGGAAGCAGAACGACGCGGCAACAAGGCATGCAAAAGGGCACTGGCAAGTGCGAACGAGGGAGGGTGGCATGGCAAGCGCAGCATACTGCGGGAGAGGGCACGGGGGTGGAAGAAGCGGTCGTGGAAGGACCCCGGGTGCACTGATGCTGGCGGCTGCAGTGGCGGCCACGAGTACTGTTGCAATTGGGGCGTGGTGGGTGGGTGGCACACAAAGCCAAGGCAGAGGTTGTTGGGGGCGAGTGAGGGGGTTTCAGGCACGGTGCGAGGCACGACACAAGGCGAGCACAGCATGCTCACTACCTTGCCTTCCCATCCACCCACCCACTCCTCCCTTCATCAACCATCCCTCCCTATTGCTTCCTCCATTCCTCCTTCCCTTCAATCTCTCCCACCCCCCATTCCATCAATTTCCCCCCAGTGGTCGTACGAGGGGTGGAGCAGAGAGCCAGAGCATGGCAGCGACGGGAGCGTCGAGGTGCCAGTGCGCCTGCGCCTCCCACCGGTTCACACACCGCGCCACGTTCGCCGCTCCCTGCCTCACACACCACAGGGGGGGGGGAGGTGGGAGGGGGGGGGGGGGGGGGAGAGGTGTGGCCAGGAGGAGGGCGAGAGCGGCTTGAGGGATGGGGGAGATGGGGAGGGAAGGCATTGGGAAAGGGAGCAGGTATTGGGTGGCGTGTGTGGGATGTGGGGACTAGTAACGGCATGGAGGCATGCATGAAAATGCATGTGTGGGATGTGTGATGCGTGTGCGGGAGACGATGGCATGCAAGGCCGTGTGTGTGATGCACTGGCAGCGACGTACCGTGCAGGGCTGTGCCCACACGGACACATGCGAGGGTGCAGAGAGCAGAGCGAGCGCACGGTCGCATGAGGGTGGCGACCACGCCACTGCTGTCACCTCACGCCCCGGCATGCCTGGGACAACGCACAAAGAGGAGGGAGGGGGGGAGGGGGAGGGAAGGGGAGGGGGCGGAGAGGACAGTGGCAGGTGCAGACGTGGAGTGGGTGTGAGGAGACGTTGGAGAGCCAGGGAGGCGGGCCATGTGGCACGCAGGGGTTGGCTGACAGTGGTTGAAAGTGGCTGAAAGTGGCTGAGAGTGGCTGAGAGTGGCTGACAGTGGCTGACAGTGGCTGAAAGTGGCTGAAAGTGGCTGAGAGTGGCTGATAGTGGCTGAAAGTGGCTGACAGTGGCTGAGAGTGGCTGAGAGTGGCTGAAAGTGGCTGAAAGTGGCTGACAGTGGCTGACAGTGGCTGACAGTGGCTGACAGTGGCTGACAGTGGCTGACAGTGGCTGAAAGTGGCTGAAAGTGGCTGAAAGTGGCTGACAGTGGCTGACAGTGGCTGAGAGTGGCTGAGAGTGGCTGAGAGTGGCTGACAGTGGCTGACAGTGGCTGAGGGTGGCTGAGAGTGGCTGAGAGTGGCTGACAGTGGCTGAAAGTGGCTGAAAGTGGCTGAGAGTGGCTGATAGTGGCTGAAAGTGGCTGACAGTGGCTGAGAGTGGCTGAGAGTGGCTGAGAGTGGATGAAAGTGGCTGAAAGTGGCTGACAGTGGCTGACAGTGGCTGACAGTGGCTGACAGTGGCTGACAGTGGCTGACAGTGGCTGAAAGTGGCTGAAAGTGGCTGACAGTGGCTGACAGTGGCTGAAAGTGGCTGAGAGTGGCTGAGAGTGGCTGAAAGTGGCTGACAGTGGCTGAAAGTGGCTGAAAAAGTGGCTGAAAGTGGCTGAAAGTGGCTGACAGTGGCTGAAAGTGGCTGAAAGTGGCTGAAAGTGGCTGAAAGTGGCTGAAAGTGGCTGAAAGTGGCTGAAAGTGGCTGAGAGTGGCTGAGAGTGGCTGAAAGTGGCTGAAAGTGGCTGAGAGTGGCTGAAAGTGGCTGAAAGTGGCTGACAGTGGTTGAAAGTGGCTGAAAGTGGCTGATAGTGGCTGATAGTGGCTGACAGTGGCTGACAGTGGCTGACAGTGGCTGACAGTGGCTGGTGCGTGTTGGAAGTAGAGGGTGGGGAGGCCTGGATGATGGCATGGAGGCATGACGGGTGGCATGTGAAGCAGAAGCACATATGCACGCAGAAGCAGGAGGAGAGGCAGGACGGAAGGTGCGCTGTGCTCTGCGGGCAGGAGGTGGCAAGACATGGCGTGCTGCAAGTCAGCGAGGCGAGGGAGAGGGAGAGGCGTGGGGCGAGCAAAGGGGTGTGGGGGGGAGGGAAGCACCTGCGGGGAGCTTGAGCATGCAGTGGTGCAGCGGGCGGTCGGGGTCCAGCAGGGCCACCGGCACAAAGGCAGGCGGCGCTCCTGGTGGGGCTCTGGCGGACACAGGGGACGCAGAGAGCAGAGCACAGCGGACGCAGGGAAGAGCGGTTGAGAGAGATGGGTGGGTTTGGGGTGCAGCAATGGAGGGGAGGGATGAAGAGGTGAAAGGAATGTGGAGCGTGAGGGGAGAGGGATATGGTGAGGTGCAGGGGTGAGGGGTGAGGTGGGTTATACTTGATGTTGGGCTGTGCAGGCGCCGTTGGGAAGGCAATGAGGTTGGACTTGGGACACCACGCCATAGGGCTGCTCACACACCACGTGCATGCACATGGACGCACACTCACACCCATGCACACATGCACGCACACACATGCACCCACAAGCACGCACACAGACACACACACGGGCACACACACGCACACACTCAGTCGAATAAGCACAATATGGACAAGGGACGCGATAATAAGGTGGTTGAGGGCACGAGAAGTGGGAGCATAGGAGAAGTACGGGCAAGGCAAGGTAAGGAAGCATAGTGGCTGGTTGCGAGCAAGCAGACTTTGGAGAACAGTAGAGGGGTGGGATTGTGGGAGAGGGGGAGTGCGGGGAGGCAGGCAGGGAGGGAGCAGTGTGCATGGAGGTGCGGGCGTGGCTATACCATGTGGAGGTGGAGCGGGGCACACTGTCTCCCCACTGCAGCACAGCACCACCTCCCGTGCGTGCTGAGGCGGGGCGTGTGCGGGCATGGGTGGCGAGCAGGGCGGGCACACTGAGAGCTATCTCCACCACCACCGCATCTGCCTCCATCCCCACCTCCTCCTCCCCCTCCTGCTTCTCTTCCTCCTTCTCCTCCTGCTTCTCTTCCTCCTTCTCCTCCTGCTTCTCTTCCTCCTTCTCCTCCTGCTTCTCTTCCTCCTTCTCCTCCTGCTTCTCTTCCTCCTTCTCCTCCTGCTTCTCTTCCTCCTTCTCCTCCTCCTGCTCCTCCATCACCTCCTCCTTCCCCTCCTTTCCCTTCTTTTCCTCCTCCTCCTTTCCCTTCTTTTCCTCCTCTTCCTCCTTTCCCTTCTTTTCCTTCTCTTCTTCCTTTCCCTTCTTTTCCTCCCCTTCCTCCTTTCCCTTCTTTTCCTCCTCTTCCTCCTTTCCCTTCTTTTCCTCCTCTTTCTCGTTTCCCTTCTTTTCCTCCTCTTCCTCCTTTCCCTTCTTTTCCTCCTCTTCCTCCTTTCCCTTCTTTTCCTCCTCTTCCTCCTTTCCCTTCTTTTCCTCCACTTCCTCCTTTCTCTTATTTTCCTCCACCTCCTCCTTTCCCTTCTCTTTCTCCTTCTCCTCCTCCTCCTCTTTCTCCTTCTCCTCTTCCTTCTCTTTCTCCTTCTCCTCGTTCTCCTCCTCCTCATCTTTCTCCTTCTCCTCTTCCTTCTCTTTCTCCTTCTCCTCGTTCTCCTTCTCCTTCTCCTGATTGTCTTTTCCCAACTCCGTTACCGCTGCCTGCTCGTCCTTCTCAGCAGTCACTTTGCTGCCATGCCCCTCCTTGCCTCCATGCCCCTCGTCCGTGCCTGTCCCCTGTACCTCCTCCACCTTTGCAGCCCCTGAATCCTCCTGCGCGTTTTGCTCTTTTTGCTCCTTCTCTTGCTGTTGTTTTCCCTGTTCATGCAATGGCTGCTGTTGCTTCTCTTCTTTCTGCTTCTCCTCTTGATGCGATGGCTGCGGTTCCTTCTCTTCTTCCTGCTTCTCCTGTGGCTGCAATGAGTTATTCTGTGATGGTTGCTGCAGCCCTTGCTGTTCCTTCCCATCTTGCGGCTGTGCTGGTTGTGTCTGCTGCGCTTGTTGCTCCTCTGCTTGCTTCTCTGCTGCAGCCACCTGTTCCTCCCCTCCTTTCTCCTTCTGCACCTGCACCCCTCCCTGCAGCACCTGCTGTGCTTCAGCCTCCTGCTGTGTGCCCTGCTGCTGCAGCACCGCACTGCTCACATGTGCTGCGTCCTGCCGCTCGCCCGCCCTAGCACCACCTCCCAGCACCACATCCACGCCACTCGTCCCACGCACTGCTCCTTCTTCCCTTCCTTCCACCCCCTGCGCCCCTTGCCCTTCTCCCTGCCTTGCCGTCTCGAGTGCTGCAGCCCCGGGCGGGTGGGCACTCACCGCGTGCACCGCACCTGCCTCCTGCGCCGCACCCCCATCATGCCTCTCCACTGCCGCCTCTACGGAGATCTTTTCCTCCTTCACCTGCACATGTGGGTCCTCTTTCCCCTGCGCCGCTGCATCAGCCACCTCCCCTGCTCCCGGCTCCTGGCTCTTCTCCTCACCCACACCACCCGCATCACCTCCCCCCTCAGCGCGCTTGCCCTCGTCACCCCCTCCCCCCTGCACGCTATCCCCTGCTGCGTCACTCACGGCACTGTCATTTCTCACTTTTGCCACATGCGCCCCAGCATCCGTGCTCTGCCCCTGCACTCCCACCGTCTCACCCTCCCCCTTCTTCACCTGCTCCTCTTCCCCTCCCTTGCTCTCCTCAGCCACCTTGTTCTCACCACCATCCTTGCTCTCCTCACCTCCCTTGCTCTCCTCAGCCCCCCCACCATCCTTGCTCCCCGCGGGCTCTTTGTCCATCTCCCCACCACTGCTGCCACCCTCACTTGTGCCACCACCTGCTACAGCACCACGCTCTTCGCCCCCGCCCTCCTCGCCCTGCCTTGCTCCCTCGGTGCCTGCCCCACATGCCACTGTGCCCTGCTGGCCTGCCTCCCCGCCCACCATGCTCGTTGCCCCGGCCCCCTCAACCTTCTCTTTCTCGGCTGCCTCTTCACCCGCACTCGCTCCCTGCTGCTGCCCATCGTGTCCCATGGCCGCTACTCCACTTGCCTCACCCCCGTTACCGCCCTCCTTCCTCACACCCTCTGCTTCTCCTGTGCCCGCCTCCTCCCGCTCCTTGCCACCTCCTTCCTTCTCCTCACCACTATCCTTCTCAGCCCCTTCCGCCTCTTTCCTCTGGCCACACCCGCTTCCCTCAACCCTCCCCGCGCCCTCCATCTTCCCTGCGCCCTCACCCTCACCCTCACCCTCACCCTCACCCTCACCCACACCGTTTCCCCCCTCTCCGCCCTGCGTCGTCTTCTCCTGTTCGCCGTCCCCTGTCGTGCCTGCACCGCCAGCACCATGTGGGATCTGCTCTGTGGCAGGGCTCTGCCCACTCCCACCCTCTTTCTGCGCGCCCTCATCACTGCCCCCCTCCGCCCCACCATCCCCTGCCAACCCCACCTCGTCCTTGCCCTCCACAGCACCCGCCTCCGTCTTCCCTTCTCCCTTCCCATCCGTCCCACCACTCTCACCCCCCAGCACCGCCCCCTCACCATCCTCTTTGGCCGCACTGACGTCTTTCCCATCACCTCTCTCCCCCTCTGCCCCCCCACCAGCTGCTGGCAGCCCTGCGCTTGCCACACGCCCCTCTGCCTCCACTCCCTCCTCACTCACCCCACCCACCCTGGCGCCTGCACTCACCATCTCCCCGCCCTTCGCCCCCGCCCCCGCCCCCGCCTCCGCCTCCGTCCCCGCCTCCAAGCCCCCTGCAGTCCCATCAGGCCCATTCCCCTGCGCTCCTTCACCTCCCTGCGCTGCTTCCCCCTGCACCCCACCCGCCACCGCCGCCTCCTCCGCGCCCACCACCCCCTGCGCGCCCCCCTCCGCGGGCGTCATGGCAGCACAGCTCTCACCCGCCCGCTCCTCGCCTGCCTCGTCTCGCTCCCCTTGAACCGTGTCTCCGCCCTCGCCCCCGCCTGGCTCCGCCTCACGCGCTCCACCCGCGTCTCCCACCTCTTTCCCTTCACCAACCTCTGCCTCTCCTTCCCTTTCCGTCCGCTCCTCTGCTCTCCCTGCAGCTGCCTCCCCCTCTACACCACCTGCACTCTCCACCACAACACTGCTCGCCTCTCCGCCTTTCCCATCCTTCGCTTCCTCCCCTTCCTTCCCCTCCTTTCCGTCATCCTTCTTTTCACCCGTACCCTCCTCTGCTCCCTTCTCTTCCGCCAAGTCCGCGCTTCCCGTCCCGTCACCGCGCACAGCACTGCCCCCCCCACCACCACCACCACCACGCCCACTGTCGCCCTCCGCCGGCGCCCCCGTCTCGCGCTCGTCACACGCGCCCTGCCCCGCCTCTTCCTCACTGCTTTCGAGCGAGATCACCACGCCTTTCTTCCCCTCACTGCTCTCCACGGATATCACCTCCGCAACTCCCTCGGGTTTCTCCCCTTCCCCAATCCCCCCGTCGCCTCGACATGCGCCGCGCCTCTCGTCGTCGGGTCCCCTGTGTCTTCGCCCTTGCTAACTCCCCCGCCTGCTGCTGCCCCTTCCGCGCCAGCTTCCCCGCCCGTTTCCGCCTCCGAAGCCTGCGTTTCCGCTTCCCCACCACTCCCGCCCGCGAGAGTCACCTCACTTTTCCGCGTCCCTCCAGCGCCCTCCCCCGCCTCATCCATGCGCGCTTCCCCCGTGCTGCGATCCTCCGCTTCTCGCAATGGATCCCCTGCCACTTGCCCGCCAGCATCGATGCCGCTCCCCCCATTCACCGGTACCACCACTTGCGCCACCACGGCTTCCGCGCTCCCCGCGGACTGCGGAACATCGTGAGCGCCAGCTGCTGCGAGATTAGCCGCGTCCTCATCCGCCGCCGCTGGCGCCGTCGCCGCTTCCGCTTCTTCAACTAATTCCGGGTTGCTCGCTTGCGCAGCGGCAGGCACGCTGTCCGACAATTGGACGGCGGAAGCGGCAGCGGCGGCGTCACTGGTATCGTTGGAGTCGGCGGGCGGCACGGCAGGGTCCCCACTGGTGGGGTCCATTCCACGGCGCGGTGCTTGGTGGCGGTCGGCGCACTAGAGGAAACAGCGCGACGAAGGGCGGGAAATCAAGGTCCAAAACCCGACGTGCTACGGCATGGCGGAGTCCAGAACCCGAGACGCGCGCTGCTGGTCCGACTGTTGGCTGCGGATACCACTGTGCTGATGATAAGTTGCTTTGGAAAAGGCTTGTTCTCTTTTGACTGTAATCCCATGTGTGCAAGCCGAAAAGTTACAGTAAATCGACTCAAGCAAAAGAAACAGCGTTATAGGTTGAGAGCGATTGTTGGAGTTCAGTGAAACAACGGCTTATCCGAAAACGAAACCAGTCTTACAGAAGAGTAGGGCAACCGCAGCAGCAGCAGTTCCCCTCGGCACTCATGCACCATCTCCACGTGTACCATAGCAGCCGAACACTCCACTCCACGAGTCGCCATGGACCCTCTCGGCCAGGTAGGCGACTCGCCTCGACGCTTCCTCCTGAAATACTCCACGCAGCCGCCATAATTGGAAATTCCTGCTGTGTCGTGCTCTCCTCGCCTTTCTCGTTTCTCCTCTCCGCTCACTTCCAGTCTCTGGCGCGCTCACACTCTACAGCCTCTGCAGCTCTCTCGTGGTGCATCCACTCCCGCGGCACCGGTGGTCGCTTCCCGTCGTACGAGCATCGCCCAGCATGTGGGGCATCGAGTGGTCGCTCAACCGAGTGCTCAACCTGGTCGTGCCGCCGCTCGGCCTGCTGCTGCTGCTCGCATGGGCGCCCGTGCTCTTCGCGCTCAACTATGCCGTCCGCCTCGTCCGTTCCTTCTTTTCCGTGAACGCCGCGCGGGATAAGGCCGTGCTCATCACAGGAGCGTCGTCGGGCATCGGCGAGGTGCGAGCTCTTGACATGCTCAAGCATCATCTCTTCTACTTGGCAGTGCAGTCACCGTATGGGGATTAGATGCGTTGGGCCAGGAGAGCTACGGGGCATGATAGTCATTATGCTTCCCTTGTTCTTCTGTCTCTGTCCCTACCACCTTGCAGCATATTGCGTACGAATTCGCTCGTCGCGGCGCTCGCCTGGTGCTGTGTGCTCGGAGGGAGGGGCGGCTGCGCGAGGTGGCTCGGCGATGCGGCAACATGGGCGCGGCAGACGTGAGAATCGTGGAAGGGGACGTGTCCAAGGAAGACGATTGCCGGCGCATGGTGGATGCTGCCATCACCAACTTCAGAAGCTGTCAGCATCCCTCCTTGCTGCTGCTCCCGTTTCGTACTCCATTCTGATTCTCATCTTACACTGCTCCGCCCTGTGGTGCACCGTGCAGTGGATTATCTGGTGTGCAACGCGGGGATTGGCCATGCCTTTCTCTTCAAGGATGCTCAAAGCATAGAGGCCATGAGACAAGTCATGGTGAGTTGCAACCGTAGTTGTGATGAGAGAGTAATGTTGGTGCAACCTTTAATAGTTTTCCATGATAATTGAAGTCACTTTTTTTCTTGCAGGATGTGGATTTTTTTGGCAGTATGTGGATCACACTGCATGCCCTGCCCTTCCTGCGAAGGGCTCGAGGTCAGATCCTTGTGAATGCCTCCATTGGCGCTTTCCTGCCCATGCCGCGCTTCAGTATCTACAATGTGAGTGCATCAAGGGTTGCAAGGTGGAAGATGGTGCAGGATGTTGCAGCTCCATCTGATCTGTGTATGCTGCCATTTTTCTGCAGGCTTCCAAGGCAGGATTGACTCAGTTCTTTGATACACTTAGGGCGGAACCAGTTGGGGCAGATGTTGGCATTACAATTGGATTTCCTGGTGCTACAGCATCTGAGCTAGCAGCTGGAAAGGTGCTGGATGAGCAAGGCCGAATGGTGGTGGATCAGGATCGACGTGATGTAAGCACTTCTTGCCTCTACTCTGTAATATCATATGTTTTCAACATGTACGGTAGCTGAATCTTGACCTCTTGTTATGGCAGGCGCTCCTAGGCCCTCAACCCATGCTCCGGACTGATACAGTTGCCAAAGCATTGGTTGACGGAGCATGTTGTGGTGCCCGTTATGTCCTGATTCCTACATGGTTTTCAGCTGCTCTGCTGTTTCGCCTGTTTGCACCAGAAGCCTTGGCACAACTTGTCCTTGCAGATGATGATGCTGCCTCTCATGAAAGGAGCTACCCCAATCGCTAAAGGTTTCATGGATGTTACCAAGGGTAGGCAGTATTTGTATCACCCTCCTGCAACCAGCCAAGAGGAAGCAGAGGCTGCTGTATTCAGGAAAGGAGAGTAAGCTGACTGGTTGAGTTGCATCTTTTGCTGTACTTTTTACTGATGGCAATGAAATTGTACATACATAGTCAGCTTCTAATCGAGTGCCGAGACTGATCCAGCATGGTTGAGACATCATGGTATCTGCCATCCATCAGAACTAGCAGAATGTTAAATTTGTATCACCCTCCAGCAATCCGCCAAGTGGGGAAGTAGTAAGGGCTGCTGCTGATCAAGAGTATACCGTACATGGTCGGTACAGTAGTAAACAATTACACCTCTCTGGACAAGAACTGTTAACAATGAGTTGCATCTACTGAACTGTTTAACAAAATGATGATATTCTACTTTGTCAGCTTGTTATTGATGCTTCTGCTAAGATGATTGGGCAAGTAGCTGATCTTCGTCTACTATTCACTAGGGCAACAAAACGAGAAATCAGCATTTTTTAACTCGCTGAAATAACTGCCTAAAGCTGTCATCCCGCTAAAATCAATAACTGGTGAAAAATGTTTCTGAAATACCGGCCTGATCCGATTTCCACACAAATATCTTCAACCTACAAGGTCAAACATGGCTGTGAAGCTGACGATTTATCTGAACAAAAAGCACAGTAAAAAGAACACCTCACATCAGTATTGAAACATGTTTAAGACGTCATCAGAACAACACATGACCAGCGTCCTCAAATGCTGGTCACAGCCAAACGGCCAGCATCACTCCCCAAATGAATACAAGTTCTTTCTTCTTCGATGCGTTGCACAGAGTAACGTCTGGTGTCAAACACCCGCTTTCGTTGATAACCGTAATGCTGGAAACCAGCTCCATGGTATAAGTGGAATTCTTAACATGGTGGCTAGTAGTGAGTTTAGAAGAGATGGCGTACCTTGTAACTGCACAAGTTCTGTCGGCAGCTGGCTTTCAGAGGTTAAGCTCAACAGGCAGCTTATCGATGCAGTCAAACCACGGCCCCTTGTTCTGCTCCGCCTTTATTGTCCGCAACGCACGCCACACAGCACTGTTACACTTGAATCCGCTGCCGAACGCGATCTGCCACACGCGGTCACCCCGTCGCACGCGTCCCTTAGCTTCAGCATACGACAGCTCGTACCAAATCGAGGAGGATGAGGTGTTGCCGAACCGATAAAGGGTCATCCGCGAGGGCTCTAGCTGGTGCTTCTTCAGCTGCAAGTTTTTCTCCAGCTCATCCAATACAGCTCTTCCGCCGGCGTGAATGCAGAAGTGTTCGAACGCGAGCTTGAAGTCTGGGATGTACGGCTTCATCTTCACACGAAACAGCTTGCGAGCCATCAGCACGGCGAAGAATAGCAGCTGCTCCGAAAGCGGCAGAACGAGCGGGCCGAGAGTAGTAATGTTAGTCTTGAGGGCATTCCCTGCAATGGCCATGAGATCGCTGGAAAGAGAGACCCCGATCTTTCCTTCGTCGTCCTCCTGCTGGTACACGCACCGGTAGCTCTTGTTATCCGCACCCATGTGCGTGCGGACCGTGTGAGTCAACTCATACTTCGAGCGGCGGCGATCTTTACTCTTGTTGGACAGAAGCATTGCGGCGCCACCCATACGGAAGATGCAGTTGGGGATGAGCATCGAGCGATCCTTGCCGAAATACCACTCAGGCGTAAGAGTCTCCATGCTCATGACAACAGCATACGTGGAGCCATGCACTTGGAGAAGATCCTTCGCGAGGTCAACCGAGATCACGCCAGCACTGCAGCCCATGCCACCGAGATTGAAGGACCGGATATCACCACGCATTGCGTACTTGTTGATGATAGCCGCGGACATGGACGGCGTTGGGCAAAACACGCTACAGTTCACCACGAGAACTCCAACATCACGGGGCTTCACGCCAGTCTTCTTGAAGAGCTCATCCAGGCATGCAAACATGACCATTTCTGCTTCCAAACGAGATCCGGCGAGAGATGGATATGGCGGATTATCGTGAAGCTTGGGAGGCAAACACGTGTCCTGGCCGAGCCCTGACCGTGTGACGATCTTGCGCTGGAACTCGAGACTCGCCTCATCAAAAACACCAGATTCGCTCGAGTATTTCATGAAGGTCTCCAGCGAGACTTTGAGATGGTCAGGAGGGCGGTAACAAGCAAAGTCGACGAGATACAGGGGGCGAGGACGGGAGAGAATAAACACCGTAGCGCCAAAGACAACTGCAGCACAGCACCCGACTACGCTGACCAGATTCAACTGTAAGTGCTGCCAGAGTTGGAGAAGATCGTCGGGCCGCATCCGAAGGACCTCAACACCAACGGAGATGAAGAGGGGAATGAGCAACAGGGGCACGCCATGAGTGATAAGATAATGGTAACCCAGCTTCACATGGCTTAAATTAACACTCTGGAGAAAATCCGGCAGGACACGGCGATTTACTGGTATCGACACTGCATCAGGAGCGGGCTTTGCTTGCAAAAGAGGCTGCTTCTGGTCGGGATTACGATTGGAGGCTTCCATCCTGAGAAACTAACTCGAAAAGGATTCAGCTCCACAATTGTGAAGGGAACTCTAGCTTACTGAATGGAGGAAGGCGTAGATATGGATGAAACAGGGGCATGAGGGTGCTGCTGGCTGAATCCAACCCGAAACGGACAGATGCTGTCACGAGGCATGGTGGATCGAGGAGAGTAGGCTGTAAGGGCGGGAAACCAGAGCGCAAGATAGGATGCCACGTGTAACGTAGATCTCAAGGTGACTGGCCCGTAAGACAAAGGGGTTTCGCGGTCACAAGCAAGGCTCGGCTGCGCGGGAAGATCACCCCCAACCTGAAACTAGCGGTGGCTAACCACCTGCGCCTCGTGTGGCGAACCAGATGGACTGGCTTGGAGGCGAGCCCACACGAACCTGTTCGAGCCTGAACTTTCGGCTCGAAACACTGTGTCAGACGTGCTGGCTTGGTAGTATCGTGGCACAAACGGGATCATCACCTTGGGAACTGGTGTCGTAATTCCCCAGCACAGCTGGCATGTTAGTTGCAATGATGCTAAGTGCAGCTCAAGAAGAGTCAAATAAGTTAATGACAACTATACTAATAGATCAAGCTAGCGTGGATGTGATGAGAACAGATAGGCTTTGGGCATATCTCTAATAATATGCCCTATTTGCTTCAAATAATTATCATGGGAATGTATATGATCAACATACATTTTCAATCTATAATCCTTGAAGATTTAGTTGCGAAACATTTGGGCCCCTAAATGAGGGCATTGTTATCGAAGCAGAAACGTGCGAAGCGCTATATGCTGCGAGTTTCGTGCATTGCCCTGTCAGTTGTGCGGAAGCGATCACGAGTCGCCTAACCCAACGGCTACGACGAAGGTGTCTTTCGTCACCAAAGCTTTTCACACCTCCTGTTGTGAAGGGTGCTGCTCTTATCAATTGCCATATGCCTTTGATCAGCGCAAGCAACGAAGCTGGTTCCATGACCATCAACGTTTTCATGCAGTATGTGTGTTTTCTGATGGCTGGTTGTGGCAAGAACCCTAAAGTGTTGCAACTCCTCTTTTGAACATGACTCAGCGAGGTGCTGCTGGTATCCTCGTCTGACGTCCCTTCTGTTCGACAGTCCTACGCATGATGAAGGGTCATACACTAAGCCGTTTGCTTAGGCGTTTCCTATATTCGAGAGGAGCATTTAGAGTCGCACAAACGACCATCTCGTTAGCCTTAATACTTCTAGTAACCCAGCAACTCATATTTATGAGAGCAGAGGATATAAACTTAGATTCAACTTTTGGTGGCATTCCCCTTCCTTCCAGTTCAGGTAAGCTTCGAAACACTACTGTCATCTGCCTCCGTCCTTCAAGTCTTTAGTCACGGCGTTTTGTTGCCCTGCAGAGTTGTCAACAAGTGTCAGATACATTGCAAGACACAACAGTCTATATCGACAAAAGGTAAGCATGGTGCTGTCACTCAGTATTCTCCGCTTTCTCTTGCTTCCGTCCTGTCTTTAATAATTGCACTTTTGTCGTGGTTTTACTCTCGTTGTTTTTACATGCCCCTTTTTGTTTACAGATCAGCGGACTCAATAACACACGTCCTGTTAACCGCGAAGATAAGGAATTGCCTGATGTCACTGACCAACGCTTCCACCAGCTGGATTCAGGAAATGGTCGCGGGTTCAACAATTCCGAGTCCAGTCAACTTCCTATGAGACTGAGGGAGTGTTTCCTTGCTGCGAGAGCGTACTTAGCGGTAGCTGATGAGTTCCAAGACAACGCATTGACAGAGCAGGTTGAGCAGGAACTAGAACAATGTGTTTTACTTCTGGATGAAGTGGCGTCTGTTGCTTCGTCAGATGATCAGACGATTGCAAGCTATGAAACCAAGCATTCGAAGGGCAAAAGAAAGCGAGGTTCTAAGGACGGGAGATCTCCACAATCCAGGTGAGCTGCAAGAGGGTGGTGTCGTTTTGCGTGCTGTCTGAACTGTTTTCACCTTTCTGACGCTGGTCGCTCGAACAATTCAGGTTGAAACTGCGACTTGAGGCTGCCGAGCACCAAACGAAAAGCGTTTTGCTTCAAAGCATGGTTTTCAGCCAGATTGCTTCCCGAGCAGTCCCGCAAACACTGCATTGCCTCTCTCTCCGACTAACACTCGCATGGACCAGCAGCCGTGATAACAATAGCATCTCCGAGCCAGGGGATGCAAGGCTTCGTAATCCCTCGCTCTATCATTATGCAATCTTCTCTGACAATGTTATAGCTGTCGCGGTCGTCTTGAATTCAACGGCAATGAATGCCCATGAGGTGATTCACAGTTTCGATTCAGACTACGACCTGTTCATTACTATGCAGAGTGCTCATTCGATGTTTCTGTCATCTTTCTCGCCGCAGCCCTGGAAGCACGTGTTTCACATTGTGACGGATCGAATGAACTACGCGGCTATGAAGGCATGGTTCACGCTGAATCCTCCAACAGGAGGGATGGCATGGGAGGTAAACATCCTGCTCAGCTGTTTTTTCCTGGCGCCAAGACAGTGAGGTACTAACTTCTACTCGTTCCCTATATTGCAGGTACGGAGTTTACACGAATACCCGTGGATTAACCCCGTAAACATCCCAGTGCTTCGTCAAATTGAGTCTGACGCTATGAGAGACTACTACTTCAGAACCGCGATGGGTCCTCGCGTTGCTGGAAATCCTGGGAAGGAAGACTACATTGACTTGAAATATCGAAACCCAAAGTACTTGTCGATTCTCAACCACTTGCGTTTCTACCTTCCAACAATATTTCCAGACTTGAGCAAGATTCTCTTCCTCGATGATGACGTGGTCGTTCAGAAAGACCTAACAGAGATTTGGGAGGTGAGCGAAGCTGCTTCAAATTCTACTTCCAAGTCTCGAGATCTGCCTAAAGGCTGCTGGGTTTCCTTGCAGGTCCCTATGCATGGGAAGGTGAATTTGGCGGTAGAAACATGTGGCAAAGTCTTCCATCGATTCAAAACCTACTTGAACTTTTCAAGTCCCCTCCTGAACCAGTATGATCCTGAAGGATGCGGCTGGGCATACGGAATGAACCTTTTCGATCTGGACGCGTGGAGGGCTGGAAGTTACACAGAAAAGTATCACTACTGGCAACAGCAGGTGAGGTCGTAATATCTTCCTTGCATTTCAACGATCTCAAGAAAAACAGCTGAGCATTACTTTGTCTTGCAGAACGAAAATCGTACCCTGTGGAAGCTTGGAACTCTCCCGCCTGGGCTTTTGACATTCTATAATGCCACAGAACCTCTTGACAAGAAGTGGCAAGTCCTTGGCTTGGGAAGCAAGAGTACAGTGAACTTGGAAAGCATAAAAAACGCAGCGGTGATACACTTCAACGGCCATGCAAAACCGTGGCTGGAGTTGGCGATACCTGTATACCAGCACTTCTGGACTCGCTATGTGCCATACAACGACGAGTTTCTTCAACAATGCAATCTCCGGGAGCCTGCTTCAATTTTCTAACTGGCGCCCTTCTCGGCAATTAAACTCTGGTCGATTCATTCACAGCGGGCTGCCCCTGGCGAGGCAAATCCTTACGGTAATGCTGCACCACCGAAACTCAATGCCTATATCCATATGCTACAGGCCAGGCTCCAACCATGCTCATCTTGAGCAAACCTAAAGCTCCTCCAAGTATCGCGACAGCCCTCCAGGTACTTCCAATCCTCAAGCACTTATTTCTAGTATCTATCCTTGTAGGCAAGCATGTCTCACCTTCCCTCGTGATGTGCGTGTTTGCAGATGCTGCTGTCTGAATGACACACTAAACTGTAATGGCAGTTCGAAGTTTTATTTGCTGGTGCAATTATGGTCAGATTACTGTGTGCAAACCTTTGTGGCAATGGTACTAATGTTCTGTTTGTAGCAATATGACCAAGCTGTTTAAAACCCAGGGTCCACAGGTTTCATAAGTAGGAAGGTTGGTTGGAGTTAGTGACAAAACCAAAGGTAGGAAGCTTGGTTGGACCTTGTAACCCAACCAAAGGTAGGAAGGATGAGGCAACTTTGGGATACTTGAGACTCCGGTTTTAAATATGTATAATGACAATGACTACCATGTGTGTGTCGGAATGTATTTGTATACGTTACATTCACATAAATGCCTACAGTACCTAGTGTAGTTATCTTAGTTTCTTGCTAGGTGGTGTACCACTTGCCTAATTCCTTGCCTATATCTTGTATGCCCTTTACTATTGAACTCCTCTTTTGGCTTGCATTTCCTCTCGCTACCTTCCTAAGCCTAAACCCTAGGCTTTCCTTAGCCTCCTATTCTCAACAGTGTGGGGAAACAGCCTACCTACACAGAGTGCCTTGACAGGAATCGACTACAGTACTGTCAAATGTTGTAGCCTATAGTGAGGTTTGTCTTAGGGGGTACAAAACTTAGGGTTAGCTATATGTACCCCAACCAACATCAATGCATCATCCATTTCTCATTTTGACATGGTATCAGTTAGGTTAGGATCCTGTGGGATCCCGTTTCTCCGTTCTCCGATCGTACCACCCGAGCCTGATCCTAGCTCTCGTTTCGCCCGTCTTGCCCGAGCCTAGTGCCGGCCCGATCTAGTCCCGTTCGTTCGTTACCGCTCGTTCTTCCTCCCGATCTAGCGTAGCCCGATCTAGCGTACCGCTGCAGGTCGCGCTGCGCTTTCCCCCCCCGCTGCCGTCGAACCGCACTTCCCCCCCTCCCCCCCCCCCCCCCGCTGCCCGTCGAACCGAGCTTCCCCCCGCTGTCTCTGGTCCTCCGCTTCCTCCTCCTGACCCCTCTCCCGCTGTTTTCCCTCGTTCTCAGTCTTCGTTGTCTCCTCCTCCTTCTCAGACTTGGGCCTCTCGTCGCTCCCCTCGTGCTCGTCCCTCGTCTCCTGTTCCCTTCACTGACCTTCGTACAGCCTTCCTTTGTTCTCGTCCACCTCGTCCGTCTCCGTCTGTGCTTCCGTCTCCTCCTGAGTCGGCCCTCACTGTGTCGCTTCCTTCTCCTGTCACTGACTACTACCGCACGTACCGTCCTGTTCTCTCTCGTGTTCTCGCCTCTCTTGTTACCCACCCTCGTGCCTCTGTGTCCTCTGTGTCCGCTCTTACTGCCGCAGTCACTGAGTTTGCCTCTACCCGCCGCCTTGACTTCGCCACCGCTCTTGTGGCTGCTCCTCCTTCCAGTCCTCTGGCCGTCGGGGGTGTGTCTGCCCTTGGCTGTGACGCCCTAGAGGACAGGCAGTTTGAGCTAGAGTTCCTGGCGGCCGCTTCCCCTCATCTCTGTGCCATGCTCCTCGCCCCTGAGGGTGACCCCGACGCCCTTGACATTCCGACTCCTCGCACTTACGCTGAGGCAGTGTCAGGGCCTTGGGCCTCTCAGTGGAGAGCTGCCATGGACGCAGAGATGGCCTCCTACAGATCCACAGGCACCTACGTCGATGAGGTTCCCCCTCCGGGGGCGAACGTAGTCGACGGCATGTGGATCTACAGGGTGAAGCGGCCACCGGGATCTCCTCCGGTCTTCAAGGCGCGCTACGTGGCTAGAGGTTTCAGTCAGCGCGAGGGAGTTGACTTCTTTCAGACCTTCGCGCCCACCCCGAAGATGACCACTCTTCGGGTGTTACTACACGTAGCAGCACAGAGAGACTACGAGTTACACTCTCTCGACTTCTCTACTGCTTTCCTTCAGGGCAGTCTTCACGAGGAGGTCTGGTTGCGTCGTCCCTCTGCCTTCACTGGCTCTTTCCCTCCTGGGACCCAATGGAGGCTGAGGCGACCGGTTTACGGTCTTCGTCAGGCTCCTCGTGAGTGGCACGACACCCTGCGTTCTACCCTGTCTGACCTTGGGTTCCAGCCGTCTTCTGCTGACCCGTCGCTGTTCGTTCGTCGTGGCCCCACACCTTTCTTTGTTCTGGTCTACGTTAACAACCTTGTTTTCGCCACCCCTGACAGGGTTGCTTTGGCACACGTGAAGTCCGAACTGCAGAAGAGACACACCTGCACTGATCTTGGTGAGCTGCGCCACTACCTTGGCCTGCAGATCACCAGGGACAGAGCTGCTCGCACCATTACACTTTCACAGTCACACATGGTGCAGCAGGTCCTTCAGCGGTTCGGGCTTCAGCACTCCACAGTACAGCGCACACCTCTTGCTGTTGACCACAGACTCACTGGACCCTTTCCTGACGAGCCGTTCGAGCCTAGTGGTCCCTACGCAGAGCTTGTGGGTTGCCTCATGTACCTGATGACTTGTACTCGCCCGGACCTCGCCTTCCCTCTCAGCGTTCTTGCGCGCTTTGTTGCGCCAGGGAGACACCGTCCTGTTCACTGGACAGCAGCTGTGAGGGTGGCGAAGTACCTAGCGACGACATCAGGCGTGGGGCTAGTTCTTGGAGGGCAGCAGTCTGTCGTACTTACTGGTCACTGTGACTCCTCTTACGCTGACGACGCTGAGACTCACAGGTCTACTCAGGGGTACTGTTTCAGCCTGGGTTCTGGAGCTGTTTCCTGGCGGTCCACGCGCTCCTCTTCGGTCTCGACCTCTACAGCTGAGGCTGAGATCTACGCTGGTGCCATGGCGGCACAGGAGCTGCGTTGGTTGACCTTCTTGCTCACCGACCTTGGTGAGCGGCCGAGCTCTGCACCGACCTTGTTCACTGACAACAAGGCGTCTATTCTCCTTTGTCGAGAGCCACGACTGGAGAGCAGAGTGAAGCACATTCACGTCAGGTACTTTCTTCTGTGAGAGTTGCAGAGGCGTGGACAGGCTCGCTTTGAGTTTGTGGAGTCCGAGGCCAACACTGCAGACATCTTCACCAAGGCGCTTCCGCCTTGTGACCACCAGAGGTGCTGTGTGCAGTTAGGCCTTGTTGACACTGGTTCTCGTGTTGCTTAGACTTGAGTGTACTGTTTACTTTGCTTTCTATATATCTCTGTTACTTCTTGGACTGGCCTTGTGGCCACTGTTGTTTGTGCTCAGACTGTGTGGTGACGTTGTGATCCACCCTGAGCTTCGTTTCTTGGACTGGTCTTGTGACCGTACTCGTTTGGTTCTGCTAGACACCCCTCACTTAGGCTATGGGGGTGTGTCAAATGTTGTAGCCTATAGTGAGGTTTGTCTTAGGGGGTACAAAACTTAGGGTTAGCTATATGTACCCCAACCAACATCAATGCATCATCCATTTCTCATTTTGACAAGTACCAGAATAGTACTTGTCCAAGTTATAATTGCTCCTTGTGTTAGCAAAATGTCAGAACTAGCTGTAGAAAGTAAGAATGAAGAAAGGAGAGTTTGCACTAGCAGCAGTTGGCATACATATAGGAAACCCTAATTGGGTTGTACTCGCTATAGAGTACCCCACTGCAGGCTAGAGCATAATATTCTGACACACCCCCATAGCCAAAGTGGGGTGTAATCAGCAGAGAAAGCAAAGCAGTACAAGCTCAGGGTGGATCACAATGTCACCACACATTCTGAGCACAAGTTTAAGAAGCAATAGTTTAAAGTGCACAATTATGAGCAAAGCTAGAGGCAGTTACAGAGGGCAAGTGAGGAGGAGGAGGGCTGGCGAGAGGAGAGAAGAGTGGAGGCGACGACTGAAGCTGCAGACACACGGGCAACAGACGGCTCTGGTGCAACTCTAGTGGCTACCGGGAGCAAGGGCCCCGGAATACAGGAGTAACAGGCTCTGCGTCTGATCAGCAGCGACAGGAGCAACGGACCCACGGGCGACAGGTGCAACCGGCTCTCTGAGCTACCGGTGGCTATCAGAACCCCGGAATACAGGCGCTGCAGACGACACGACGGCTGCCTCCACCCAACCTCCTCCAACTGTCCCACACCCCCCAACACACACCCCCTGCTGAAACCCTAGCTCCACTCCCATGGCACCCCCCTTAAACCCTAAACCCTCGGCTCCCACACACCCACCCCCCTGAGCAGCAGCTGCAGCAGTGGGAGACGGAGGAGGAGGAGGAGCAGGGGACGGCTGACAGAGACGGCACCCCCATACGCTCCACCCCCAAACCCTAATTCAGGAGTACGGGCAGCAGCAGGGGTGGGGCGCCGTCAGAAGCGCGAGGGACGGCGTGCAGCTCAGTGGGAGAGGAGACCGGGCGCCCGCGGGCCGGCCGCAGCCCGTACGAACCGCGCACAGGCGGCCCGAGGCGCGCGCGGGCCAGGCGCAGCCCGTACGGGCCGCGCGCGGGCCTGGCGCAGGCCGTACGGGCCGCGCGCGGGCCTGGCGCAGGCCGTACGAGCAGCGCGCGGGTTGTACGGGCCGCGCGCGGGCCTGGCGCAGCCCGTACGGGCCGCGCGCGTGCAGGACAGGCCGCGCGCGGGCCTGGCGCAGCCTGTACGGGCCGCGCTCGTGCAGTACGGGCCGCGCACGGGCGACGGGGGCGACGCGCGGGTCCCCGGGGGCGCTTCGGCGGGCGACGGGGGGAGAAAACCGCCGCGCGCCTCGGGGCGCACGGCGGGCAGAGAACCGCCGCGCGCCTCGGGGCGCACGGCGGGCAGAAAACCGCCGCACACCTCGGGGCGCACGGCGGGATGAAAAATCCGTCGCACGCCACGAGGCGTGCGACACACAGAGTAGCAGTAGCAGTAGCAGTAGCAGCGGAAGGCTTAGGTGGTGGGCCCACCCACAGGATCGACCCAGGAGGGTCGACCTGCTCTGATACCATGTTAGAACTAGCAGTAGAAAGTAAGAATGAAGAAAGGAGAGTTTGCACTAGCAGCAGTTGGCATACATATAGGAAACCCTAATTGGGTTGTACTCGCTATAGAG